TAATAAAAAAAGATGATAAGTATTGGTGAGATATTGGCACCTCATACGTTGCTGGAAGGAATGTATAGTGGAGCAGCCACTGTGGAAAACAGTGTGGTGATTCCTCAGAAATTAAACAGAGTAACCATATATGCACAGAACTTGGGCAGAAATACTCATAGCATCACTCATAATAGCCAGAAAGTTGGAACACCCAAATGTTTATCAGCTGATGAGTGGATAAAGAAAATGTGGTGTGTCTGTATAATGGACTGTTATCTGGCCGTATAATGGACTGAAGTATTGATACATGGTACAACACAGATGAACCTTGAAACCATCACGATAAGTGTAGTGAAATAGTCACAAGGGAGCACGTATTGTATGATGCATTTGTATAAAATGCCCAGAATAGGCCAATCTATATAGAGGCAGTGTATTAGTTTCCTGTAGCTGCTGGACAAATTCCCACAGACTTGGAGGCTACAGTCTCTGGACTCATGGCTTTGGCCTCTTGGCCCAAGGCTCTCCCCGGTGGTCATATTTGTAGCCAGTAGTTTTACCAGCCTGTTTCCTGCCTGTTGACTTTGGGAGTCTGACACCCTTTTAAAATTTCATCCAGTCTCTCCCTTTTAGTCTAAACTGGCAGTATTTCTGCTGGTATGACGCTCTAAACCGTGAATATGTGACATATTCATGCCATCAGACAGAAGGTTTCCCCACAGATGTTTCATCCCTGTAATTTCATCCCTATTCCTGGCATCTGTGAGACGACTGAGAGGATTCATCACACGCCTGATCTCTTTGGCACTAGCATAGTCTGTGCAACCACACCCTCAGCCTTCTCTCCAGAGCACACATTCCTACAGTCAATCTCCTAATTTTAGTGTTTCTTTGTAATCTGAATAGCCTGGGAATTTCCGAAACCAAGTCCAGGTTCCTTTATGCTTAACGGTTCTTCCCTCAGTTTCTTTCTTTACTCCCAATTTCACTGTAAGCAACAAGAAGAAAGCAGGCCAGGACTTCTCTGGTGGCGCAGTGGTTAAGAATCCGCCTGCCAGTGCAGGGGACACAGGTTCGAGCCCTGGTCCGGGAAAATCCCACATGCCGCGGAGCAACTAAGCCCGTGCGCCACAACTACTGAGCTTGTGCACCACAACTACTGAGCCCACATGCCACAGCTACTGAAGCCCGCGTGCTCTAGGGCCCGTGCTCTGCAAAAAAAGAGAAGCCACTGCAATGAGAAGCCCGTGCACTGCAACAAAGAGTAGCCCCTGCTCGCCACAACTAGAGAAAGCTTGTGTGCAGCAACGAAGACCCAACGCAGCCAAAAATAAATAAATAAATAATTTTTTTAAAAAAAAGAAGAAAGCAGGCCAGACCATCCACACTTCGTTTGGAAGTCTACTCAGCCAAATATCCAGGTTCATTGCTTACAAGGTCTGCCTTCCTCTCAACTAGGGTACGATTCAGCTAGACTTTTGGACACTGTATGACAGGGGTTCTCTGTGCTCTTGTTTCCAATCACACGTTCCTCTTTCCCCTGAGCCCTCACCAGAAACACTTTTAACATTCACCTTTTTCCCAGCATTCTGTTCCTGATGACATCTGTATTCTCTAAGATGACATGAGCTTTCTGACCAGCTCCTTTTCTTCCTTTGAGTCCTCAGTAACAGAGTGTTTACCATGGGTGTTCCCACCAACAGTATTCCCTGTGGCCTGGCTCCCTCTTGCCTGCCCCTTATTTCTGGTGAACCCTCTTGCCTGCCCCTTATTTCTTGTGAACCAGGTGTTCGATCAAAAGAGCACAGTATGCAGGGGTCTTGTTAGCAAGAAGGCATTAGAGGTGGTGCCTTATATTTGTATATATTGTATATATTTCTGGGTGTCTTGATTTTCCCACAAGGCCACAGTTGATCAGGAGTTGGGAGAGTGACAGTCTGACTCTTTTATGAAGTTTCCCATCCACTTGTCAGCTGATGATTCCATCGTTTAACTGGGCGTTGCAAACTGGTACTTGTCCTGAATTCTGGCTTTTCTTCCACATTTATTAGATGGAATTGTCTTGCCAGGAAAGGTTTTCTTTCATCCACCAGTGCTACTTGGTTGCTTGAAACACAGCCTGTTCGGGACCGTCAGGAGTACTGACTGTCTTGTGGAATTGCTGCCCTTCGTACCCAGGGGCAAGTGCCGGGGCCTGGGGGTGGGGTGAGGCTGCTTCTCTTCCTGTGAGTGGTGTTGTGAGCATGGCTCTGCATCAAGCGAGTTTCAGGCCTTGCAGCCGTTCATTTTGATGTGTCCCCAGTGGCTGCTCACAGGCACATTCCTGACCCCTTGGGGCCCCTGTCACAACCCCTTAGTCTTTTGTAGCTTGCTTGCATCTTGGCCCAGAATCAGCTGTTGCTCTAAGGAGCCCTGTTCCTTTTCAAGGGTGAAATGGTACTTGGGGCTTGCAGTGTGGGCATGGGGCTGCTCACAGCTTCTGCGCTTTTTTGTGAACAGAGCTAGGGAGTCATATGTTTTTGAAACAACAACCTCAAAACCCCATAATTTCACATTGATATTTCCAATTACAGGGTTTTACTTTTATTTTAAACATGTATCTGCTCTCTTTTGTGAATATCTTGTCTTCTAATGTCATTGGCATAATTACTCTAAAATACTTTCAGAATAAACAGACCAATATTAGCACTAATGTTAGTAGCAAATAACAAAATGTGGAATGAAGTTTAAGATTTCTTTACAGCTCTGTGTGTACTTAGAATGTACCGCTTCCCCTACGGACATATGTTTTTTTTGTTTTGTTTGCTTTTTGTTTTTTAAAATGATCAATCAAAGGAACTCTTTTCCCTATGATTCTGACACCAACTTGATATCAGCTCATATGTTTGGTTGGTTTTGCATTTTTAGGAATTGTACTTTTTTTTTTAAATTTTTGGCTGCGTTGGGTCTTTGTTGCTGCACGCGGGCTTTCTCTAGTTGTGGTGAGCCGGGGCTACTCTTCGTTGCAGCGCGCGGGCTTCTCATTGCAGTGGCTTCTCATTGCGGAGCATGGGCTCTAGGCACGCAGGCTTCAGTAGTTGAGGCTTGTGGGCTCTAGGCTCAGTTGTTGTGGCGCACGGGCTTAGTTGCTCCGCGGCATGTGGGATCTTCCCAGACCAGGGCTCGAACCCGTGTCCCCTGCATTGGCAGGCGGATTCTTAACCACTCTACCACCAGGGAAGTCCCTGTACTTTTTTCTTTTGATTTGGCTTTGTCTTCAATTTGGTAAAAGATTACATACTTCCAATGTGAAAGCTGTATAACAAGGTGGGAAGTTTCATTTCCAGGCCACTTCCTAATACCTCTGGGGATTTAATTGTTGATCTGCAGCATTTCTTTTTGCAGGTATAAAGCAAATATACATGTTCAGATTCCCCGAGTCTTATACAAAAGGTATAACAGTGTAGCATCTAGTGTGTGGCCTGTGGCATCTTACCTGGAGCATGTGTGTCCTTCCTGTTGCTCCCTCCACATCCATGAGGGGATTCGTCCTCCACCTTTGCTGTCAGGCCCTCATACAAGACTTGTACAGGTTAGACAAAGTGTATAAACTGCAGGAAGCTTTTTTCCCACATTTCTGTCTTCTCACCTGCAAACCAGCCCGCTAGTAGTACCTGCCTCACTGGGCAGTTGGAAGAATTAAGTGTGTTAATTATTTGTAAAGCATTCAGAGCTGTGCCTGGCCCGGAGTCAGTGCAGCGTGTGAGCTGTCACTGCTGTGCTCTGGCCGTACCCAGCCTGGATGCTTGTATTTTTGCTGTCAGGAGGGGGAGATGATAAAGGTGGAGTGAAGATAAGGGAGGTACATGCTCCTCGGCCCATTTCTGGGACTGTCCTGGAGCGGGGGTGCCTTGGAGCAGAAGAGGGGTCATAACCTCTCTGTCTGCATGGAGGCTGGGAACTCTCACGCCCAGGGAAGCCAATCTAGACATAGAGTAGGGCAGGTGCCCTGGGGAGTCAGAGGAGGATCAAATCAGCAGGCCTGAAGCACTCTACCCTCAACGTGCTGGGTGATGTATTTACCCACAGGAGCGCCCCTTGGTGGCAGTGTGACTGACCACTCCCTGTGCCCGCTTCTCCTGTCAGGTGGTTGCTGCTCCCCTCTGTCCCCTTCAGGCCTCCTCATGCTGGTCTGGTCCCCAGAGCCTCTGCTGCACTGGGCTGTGGGCAGCCTCAGTGGGCGCAGACCCTGGGTGCCTTGTGCCCACCTGGCTCCAAGCACTCGGTCCTGGTTCTGTGCCAGGGGCTTCGGGGACATGCTCCTGAGCCCCATTTACTGTATCTTGTGTCGGAGTAAAATATCTGGTTGCTGGTTTTGTTTTGTTTTGTTTTATAACTGAAGTATAGTTGATTTACAATGTTGTGTTTTTTCCTTACGGCAAAGTGATTCAGTTATACGTATGTATATTTTCTATTATGGTTTATCACAGGATATTGAATATAGATCCCTGTGCTATACCTTGTTGTTTATCCATTCTGTATATAATAGTTTGCATCTGCTAACCCCAAACTCCTGGTCCATCCCTCCCCTAGCACCCCCCACCCCCGGCAACCACAACTCTGTTCTCTATGTCCATGAGTCTGTTTCTGTTTCATAGATAAGTTCATTTATCATATTTTAGATTCCACATATAAGTAATACCATATGGTATTTGTCTGACTTACTTCGCTTAGTATAACAATCTCTGGGTCCATCCATGTTGCTGCAAATGGTATTATTTCATTCTTTTTTATGACTGAGTAATATTCCATTGTATATATACATACTACATCCTCTTTATCCATTCATCTGTCAGTGGACACTTAGGTGCTTCCATGTCTTGGCTGTTGTAAATAGTGCTGATGTGAACATAGGGGTGCACGTATATTTTTGAATTAGAGTTTTCTCCGGATATATGCCCAAGAGTGGGATTGCAGGATCATATGGTAATTCTATTTTTAGTTTTTTGAGGAACCTCCATACTGTTTGCCATAGTGGCTGCATCAGTTTACATTCCCACTAACAGTGTTGGAGAGTTCCCTTTTCTCCAAACTCTCCAGCATTTGTTGTTTGTGGACTTTTTAATGATCTGGTTGCTTTTTAAACCTGCTTCCTCTTGCTTCACCTTTTATGGAAGTAGAAAAAGCTCAACAAATTCTTTTAAGATTTCTCCAACCCAAAAGATGGCCAAGGCCTTACTGAGATGTCAGCTCTTGACCTGGCAAGCTCCCCGTCCTTGGCCACCTCATTTCGGAGCTTCCTTTAGCCCCCACTTTCCTTGTGCCCCACTCACCACCCTGTTGTCCTTCAAGGACCAGCCTGGTCAGGTGATCGGTGGGATCTTTTCCTCCCAGAAATTTGTGGGGGGCATTGGGAGAGGGAGTGTTGAACACATCTCCCATGTGTCCTGTCCTTTGGTACCTGCCCTGTGGCCTCCCTGGGCCTTTCCCCCACGTTTTCCTCTGCTGATTCCATGGCTGAGAAAACAGTGGTGGGTGAAGTTTGAGATCAATGAGGGCTGATGGGGGTTACAAAGTGTGCTTATGTTGTTAACATTCGTCTGAGGCCCCCTTCATGTGTTTCCCTTGGAGGTGTTCTCATGACGGCAGGTTCACTGTCTGTCCCAGGCTCACGGGTTGTCCCCTGTGATGGGTCCTGGGCTGCGGGGGTCGTCTCCTCTGGCTGCTGTTGAGTGGACTCAGTGTCATGGTGACTTAGGCGGGGGTCAAGTGAGCAGGAGGGGTGAAAGCTCTGCCCTTTCTGCCTGCCTTGCCAGAAAGATGGTCCAGCTTCTCTGAAATAAGATTTTAGTTACGAACATCCCTTCTTTGACCCCAAGACAAACTCACAGTAGTGATTTCCCTGGAACCCCTGGAGTGAGTGTCCTTGGTTACAAAGAGGACAAATGGTGGAAGGCAGGCCCTGCTGGGAGGCTCCAGAAACACAGCGAGAACCAAGAGGGCCCTGGGCAGTGGCCTTCACCTGCTTCCTTGAGCGGCACTGTGCCCTCTCCCTGGGCCGTGCAGTGAATTCAGATCAGTGGGAGCTGGGGAAAGCACAGCCAGGGCGCCCAGCCAGATTTGCATGCAAATATGACGTCAGCAGTGGAAAAGCAACAGGCCGGTGTGAAAAGCGAAAGTACTTTGGTACAAATGGAGCAAAGACAAAAGCGGCCCTCCTGTGTCTACTTCTGAGATGCCCTGTGACCCCGGGCCAGCCCCTCTGCAGAAAGACGGGTGCCTGAGCCCCCCTCCGTGACCCTCGCCAGGGTTTACAGCAGGGCGGGGGAGCAGCGTCTTCTAGTGTCTTGGTACCTTCTTGGTTTTCTGTTTCTTTGTGCCTTTTGTTGTTCTGTGGTAGCCGAGCTCTGCCGGCCTTTCCCAGAGGGATGGATTCCAGAGGAGGCCGAGCCAAGCTGGCGAAGACAGACAGACAGGGACAGACAGACGGGGACGGCTGCCATCCCTGCCTTCAGGAGGAACGCAGCAGGGCCAGGGCGGGAAGGGGCGTCACTCGGCCTCACTTCTGCGTCTGGGATTAAACTGCTTCCTGTTTTTGCTTTTAGGATGAATACCTTTCTCTCGTGGCCAGGCTCATTATCCATTTTCGAGACATCCGTAAGTAAAACATCACATCTCTGGGTGGTTGTGGTCGCCATGAGAGCCCGGCCAGTCGCGGCCCCAGTGCCTGAGGCAGGATGTCTGTGGACAGCGCCTGCTTTCTGGGAAGTTCTTCATGGCTTCGCATTTGATTCCATGTTTCCCATCCTCCCAGAGCCTCAGCCTGAAACGTGCTGATTGTGGCCTAATGGAGATGTTAGTGTCCAAGTGGTCTGGGCTGGACTGCTCTTTTTGCTTGTCTGCTTAATCTCCCTTTTTGAAGGACTGCTGCTTTGATCTCTAGGCAGTTCCTGAATAAGCAAAGTCCACCCTGGAATAGACACTTCCTTCCCTGATGCCTGGTTTTTTTGACCCATGGAGGCTGGACCTAACTGTGTTCCCGTCAGGCTGGAAGCTTCTGGGGCCAGCTTTCTCAGCGCCACCCTGCACTCCCTGCCCTGGTGAGGGCCCAGCCCCACAGCATCCCAGTTCCTCTTCTCCAGGGCCGCTCAGGGCCGCTGGCCGCTGCGCGGTGGGTGGGGGGCGGTGGGGGGTGGGGCGTGGTTACAGCCACAGCGCCTCCTGCCGGCCTGCAGTGGGGTGACCACAGGAGGCAGGTTCCTCCCACGTAGCCTGTCCATGGCGTGGCTGCTCCCTGTGGCTGTTGAGACAGCTGTGGCGTCAGCGTCACTCATCTCAGAGGGAGACATTGGGGACCCCAGAGTCCTTGCAGGGCCATTGCTTCTTTCCACACTAACTTTTTACCAGACTGGCTAGCAAGATGAACCTCACTTGATTTCACTTTCTTTGCTGTGTTTGGGAAGGGCCCATGGTGTTTGGAACAAGAGGAGCCGCCACTAGAAGCCTGGGGCATGAGCAGCCTGGCCACGACCCCGTCTGTACTGGCAAGGGCTCGGCCTTTCGGGCTGGCTGGCCCATTTGGGAGCTGGCCCTGGCACGGCAGTGCACAAAGCCCTTTGGCGGGGGTGCCCACAACTGCCTCACCCCCGGCAGAGGGTGGAACTGTTGTGGCAGTTCCCTGCCCGTCCTGGGGCTGGCTGGATCCAGCTTCTAACCAGCCTTGGACAGACTCAGTTTCCTCATCCAGAAAATGGGGATGCTGCCTCCCTAACCAGAGTGGGCTGAAAATGGAGGTGTTGTGGGCCCAACGTAGATCCCTGAAGCGCTCTTGTTTGTGGCTTGGGACCTGTGCTAAGAGCCCTGGCCTGGGAAGGAGGGAACTAGAGGAGACCCAGCACCAGCCTCCACCTGGGGGCTGTTCTCCAGGGCCCAGGTTGACCGTGGGGTGGTTCTGCACCCTCTCGCTCCTGGCCTCCTTGTGTGTCAGTGCTGCCAGGGGTGGGACACATACATGTATTCACACATGTTCACACACACACACACACACACACACACACACACTCTGAAACTCTGAGGTATGTTTTGTCTAGTTTCTAGGCAGGGTCAGTTCAGTGTTAGCAAATGATCTCTGGGCGAATGCCTTCAGCACTGACTTAGCGTGGAAATATATGGTTACAGAAAAACTTTGTTTACTTTGGTTTCTTTTTTTTTTTTTTCTTTTATATATAGATAACAAGAAATCACAAGCTTCTGTCAGTGGTAAGAGTTTCTCCTTTTGGAATTAAAGTTTTTCCCAACCTTGGCTACAGAGTAGCAGGAATGGGATGGTGGGTGCTGCGTGTGCCTGGGGTTAAGCTGTTACCGGAGGAGGAAGTTCCTGGAGAGACAACCTCGGGTTCCTGAGAACTGCCAGCTCCTGGCCCACCAGGCACCCTCCTCCTGGTGACCGTGGAGTTGGACGATACCACCCCATCCCATTCCTCCCGCAAAAAAAAAATGATGAAAACTCACACGATTATTGAATATTATCTAAAATTTTGAGCTCTCTGGGAGAGAACTAGTATGGTATAATGCTGTGCTCAGCATAATAATCTGTAGTAGCATTTAGAGAATAACTATGAATTCACTTTCTTAAGTTACAAAGTTTCTTTGTAAGTTAAGAATTGTCATTCTTTTTTATTTTTTAATTTCAAGGTTTTATCTCATGGGAACCCTGTTGATTTAGCCCAGGTCTCGCTGAGTGAGCTGCCAGTGAAGGGGTTTAGCAGATCCCAGTGGCCAACTAAACTCCGACTGCCGGGCGGGGAGCCACCCTGGCGGGCTGTTTGTCTTACTGTCGGCGGCACATGCCGCATGCCCAGGCTTGCCTTGGCCGAGCTGGCTGCACCTGCCTGGGGTCCCTTGGCTTGTGCAGCGATTGTTGGCCAGCCAGGGCTGGGGGGTGGTGGTGGGGGTGGGTATCAAGAGTGCTTGGCCAGGAGAATGTGTGTGTTTATTCGGTTCTGTGGCAGGGTGAGCCGGCCAGGCCACACCTGCCTGCAGGTGGCTCTTTGCTGTTATAACAAGAGCCTCTGGCTCCTGCCCCAGGCCCTGGCCATTACTCACTCAGCTGGCGAGCATCTGCGGACCCCTCCCACACACCCTTGTTCTCAGGGGTCTTTCCTGAGAACTGCTCCTCAGTGGGGTCCTGCCCAGACTTAGCAAAGATGGGCTTCTGGTGCACAAGGGGACTTGTAACCTCCCTGGGACATCTACTCCTGCCCCCTTTTCTCTGGCCCCAGGCTCGGCTTACTGTGAAGAGCCCTTGACCCTTGTTTTCTCTGGATTCCCAGCTGTGTCTCACCCAGCAGGAGGGGCCTATGGCCAGGAGGGGTGGGGCCACCGCCTGCCACCGAGGGCTTGCTCGTCCCTTGGAGTCTGTCAGGACCTGGCATAGGCTAGGCTAGGGTGTGGGCTGTGCTCCCTGCCTAGGAGGTGTCCCAGCCCCTGGGGTGTGGTATGCAGCTGGGCTGGGGCTTGGGGGACTCCTGGGACTCCGGCCGCTCACCATTTGGGACACTGAGGGTGTCGAGCCTGGAGGTGGGAGGAAGCGTGTGCCCGGGAAGGCCTTATGGCCCACGGAGCCTGGCCCGGTTTGGCGGACACTGCCCTGAGACGCTGCACCCTGTGCCCCGCAGACCCTATGAATGCGCTGCAGAGCCTGACTGGCGGGCCCGCCGCGGGAGCAGCCGGCATTGGCCTACCTGCTCGGGGCCCCGGCCAGCCCCTGGGCGGGATGGGCGGCCTGGGGGCCATGGGGCAGCCGATGCCACTCTCGGGGCAGCCACCTCCTGGCACCTCGGGGATGGCCCCCCATGGCATGGCCGTCGTGTCCACGGCCGCTCCGCAGAGTGAGTACCACGCTTCTCAGAGAACCTGCCGCGCTCTCCACAGGCGGCGCGTTCTCTTCCCAGCCGGGGGTGGGGGTGGTGAGGGGGCGAGAGGAGCTGGGGAAGCTCCAGCCTGCTTTGCCTCCCAGAGGGCGAGGGACACCGAGGCCCTCTTGCCCAGGCTGAGGGAGGACTTGGAGGAGGATGGGGTGGCCTGGGACTCCATCCAAGGGGCTGTGCTTTGTAGTCAAGATAGAAACAGCTCCGTCTCAGGGTGTCCTCAGCCGCAAAGCCCCATCTGTCCCTTCCAGCGTTGCCCTGGCCCCAGGCCGCCCAGGCTGTGGCTCGCATCCTGATTCCCCTCCCGAAGGAGGCGCCTGATCCTCCGCACAACTGCTTGGGCCAGGAGCAGGGTTGCAGCGCCGGCTGCCTCTGTCCCAGGACCCTCTTTTTTTTAAAAAAATATTTATTTATTTTTGGGTGTGTTGGGTCTTCATTGCTGTGCACAGGCTTTCTCTAGTTGCGACAAGCGGGGGCTACTCTTTGTTGCGGTGTACGGGCTTCTCACTGCGGTGGCTTCTCTTGTTGTGGAGCACGGGCTCTAGGTGCGTGGGCTTCAGTAGTTGTGGCACGCGGGCTCAGCGGTTGTGGCTCGCGGGCTCTAGATCGCAGGCTCAGTAGTTGTGGCGCACAGGCCTAGTTGCTCCGTGGCATGTGGGATCTTCCCAGACCGGGGCTCAAACCCATGTCCCCTGCATTGGCAGGTGGATTCGTAACTACTGCATCACCAGGGAAGTCCCCCAGGACCCTCTTGATGGACATTTATGCTTGTAGACTTTTATCTAATACTGCTAAGTGCTTCAGTACTTTTTTCCCCTTATGTAACTTTTTATTTTTGAAATAGTTGAAGAGTCACAGGAAGTTGGAGAATAGCACAGAGCTCCCATGTGCCCTTCCCCCAGCTTCCCCAACGAAAACATCCTAGTACATCACCAAAACCACGACAGTGCTGTCAACTCAGGCAGACTTTATTCACATGTGACCAGTCTTTGCATGCACTCTTGCGCATGGGCGTGCATGTGTGTGGTTCTGTGAGGTCTTATCACATATGGAATGGAGTTAGCACGTGGAACCGTCACCACCAACAGGCTGTCCTGGTGCCTCCTAATAATCACACCCTCCCTCCAACCCAAAGCCCGGCAGCTGCTGATCTGTTCTCCGCCTTAGTAATTGTGTCATTTTGCGAATGTTACATAAATAGAATCATGCAATATTTGACTTGTTGAGACTGGCTTTTTTTCACTCGGCCTGACGCCCTTGGGAGCCTCCAGGTGGTGTTGGTAATTCCTTCCTGTTCGCTGCTGAGTAATATTCCCTGGACTGCTGGGCCACGCACAATTCACTTATCCGCTCACCCTTGAAGGACACATGGGTTGTTTCAGTTTGGGCTGTTAAACTAAAGCTGCTGTGAATGCTTGTGTGCATGTTGTGGTGTTCCCATGTATTCTGTCTCGCATCCCTCTCAGGAACCCTGTGATGAGGGCAGCCACGGCCTTGAGCACCCTGTTCTTTGTTGGGTTCCCTGTGTCCGGGTCACCTTGCCCTTCTCAGAGGCCACATGCATCCTCTGTCCCACCCACTCCTGCACTGGCACCTTCTGCCCCCAGACACCCCCTTCCTCCCAGAGCTTCATTTCTCTTCCTTATTGACGTCTTGCCGTCTGACGCTTGGCTCAGTGGTTGGTTCTTCATCTCGAGCTCCCAGGTCCCCTCTTGTCAGCACACTTGTCTTTCTCTCTCTCTCTCTCTCTCTCTCTCTCTCTCTCTCTCTCTCTCTCACACACACACACACACACACACAGGCAGGGCGGCTTTCAGAAGGATGCTCCTTTTCATGTTATACTCGGGTGCGCTGGTTGAATTTCTTTTTTATCACAAACTTAGATTTTATAATAAAAAATAGTTTTAAGCTGTATGAGTTTAGAATGTTTTGCAGTCTGACTCCTGAGACTGTCAGTTCAGCAGTGACGCTTTGGTGGGCTGTCTTGCACCCTCCCTAGTCCAACCTTGGCCCACATCCTGTCTTCAGCTTCCGAGGGGCTTGGTCTCCTGTGTGGCACCAGTGGAAGTTAAAGTGGTCTCTACTCTCATGTGCTGCTGCTGCCTCTACAGAGACCCACCCTGTGACCTCTGGTGGCCTGGTCTACCTGAAATAAGTGTAGTGCTTGATGGGTAGTTGCTGCCCTTTTCTGACACCTCCAAACGCCACTGTGTGATGAAGCCTGCTTCGGACCTTAGTTCCACGCCCCCAGAGTGTAGGTCCTGGGTCAGAGGACTCGCAAAGGGCAGCCCAGAGCCTGCTGTGCATCTCCAGGTGACCTGGGTTAGTCACAGGAAACACACACTGCTGACTGTGGATAAGGCTGGGGCTGAGGTACAGGATACTTTTAAACTATACTTTTTTGTTTCCTTGATGAATTTTATATCATGTGTTTGTAGAACCTACTTTAAAAATAAGCCGTATTTCTGGCTGTTGCTGAGGAGCCCTCTCTCCTTCTGTGTAGACTGTGTTTTGGATTGTTGGGCTGGCAGAAGGTAGGGGCAGCTCTTTGCCCTGCTGTGCCTTGGCACGCTGCAAGGTGGGGGAAAGCAATCCTGGGATCCCTCCGTCCAGGATGTGCCAGGGCCCTTGGCAACCCCCAGCTCCGCCAGAACCCGGGGCAGATTGGAGGAGGGTGCTCCCAGTTTAGGCCTGTGAGAATTGCAGATCAGGGTCAGTCATTGAGCACACAAAATCAGCAGGCATGGAAGGAAGCAGACACACCTCAAGGAGGAGCAGAAACAATCACCAGATGTGGAGATGCCCCAGGACATAGCCATTGTTAGATATGGCCTTGGGGTGCTTAAAAAAATAAAGGTTGGACTTCCAAATGAACGGACACTGTGATACTGTATCAGGAGTGACCAAATAGATTTGAAAAATAACCAAGTAGAACTTGTAGAGACGAGAAGTAAAGTCATCGAAAGAGGAAAGTGTGGATGAATAAACAGATTAGATACAGCTGAAGAAAGAGTTTGAACTAGAAGCTACATTTGAAGACGTTACCTAGAACGTAGCCTAGAGAAGAGGCCTCAGGAACAGGAGGGTGAGAAACGTGGAGCATGAAATCAGGAAGTCTGACGGGCATCTAAGTGCAGATGGAAGCACAGAGGGTGTGAGGAGACGATGGCCGATGAAAGCCCAGTGGACCACACAGGTTAAATAAGGCATCCATGCCCCAACCTGTTGTGAAACAGCAGGACACCAAAGGCCAGAAGACTGTCTCAGAAACAGCCATTTCTGTCAAGGAGCGAGAAGCAGACTCAGCAGACTCGGTGATGGAGTCAAGAAGACAGTAGAGGTTGTTAGAGCCCTGAGCACAGAGCTGCCAACAAAGCCGAGGAGACCTTCACTAAAAGTTTTTAAGGGCATACTTCTTTTTCCCCTCACCATTTCCTCTTACCTCTCAGACCATCCTTCCCAAGATGCCAGGTGTAAATGGGAGAAGAAACATTTTCCATATAAGGGCATAAACACGCACAAATCTAAGGTAGTGATTCTAAGCGATTTTGCACCCTGGTGAGTGTTTGGCAATATGTGGAGACAGTTTGGCTGTTACAGCTGGTGGCGGGGCGGGGGGGGATGCTGCTGCTGGCATCCAGTGGGCAGAGGCCAGAGATGCTGCTGAGCATCTTCCGTGTACAGGGCAGCCCCCACAGCACGGTGTTGTCTGGCCCAAGGTGTCAGGAGGGGCAAGGCTGGGAATCCTTGGTGTAAACAAAAATTACCTCTGTAAAATAATCCTTAGAGCTACCCTCTACAGGTTCTGAGCACTGTTTGGGTCTGTAGTAGATTATTTAATTCTGAGTCCAATGTAGGGGTATGTAGTATAGCTGAGGAAACTGAGACACAGAGCAGTGACAGAGTTGGGATTTGAGTCCAGGTGTCTGGGTCCGAGGCTGTACCCCTGGCCTTTATTCTATCCTGCCTCTTAATATAAGTCTGCTGTGTGGGCATAAGATAAACAGGGACCATACCAAATGGAGTCAGGAAGGGCAAATATCAAGGATATCAGGTCTATTGTGTGCATGTAAAACCTACTTTAAAAAAATGTTTAGAGAGGATTCTAAGGTCCTCATATTTGGGAAAGAGGTTTAAATGTGGATAAACTTTATACTTTGTTAAATTAAATATGCATGATAAAATTGTAAAAGTCGTTGCTAAAACAGTAGAAATAGTTTGTAAATTCCAAATCCATAGGAAAAAATGGAATGAGACAGAAACAACAAACAAAAATCCAAACGAACAAAAATCAACCCAGTCCTCCAACAAAACAGAATTCAGAAGAGGAGAAAAAAATGTCCATTATACCTCAGTAAAGCTCAAAAAAAGAGGAAACTTAGAAGGGGAAAGACAGATACAAATAAGTTGAAAACCATAAGTAATCACAGTAAAAGTGAAGGGATAGGCTTTCCTGCTGAGACTGAATGGAAACGTAAGGAGAGGGTACAGCTCTTTAATCCTTACAGGAAACACACCTGAAATAGAAGATGCAAAAAGACTTGAAAATAAAAGGTGTGTTGGGCAATTTCCCCTCCCAGTTACTGAGTTAACCAGACAAAAATAATGAATTTAGAGAGGAGTTGAAGGATGTAGTGAGCAGCTTCGTCTAAGCCTGTGGGTGGGAAATGTGCTCACAATGGGTCCTGCATGGATGTACTCCCCACCCTGACGCTCTTCAGAAATTGTGCTGAAGGAGAGAGCCAGTCCTTCTGTGTGGTTTAAAAATGGCAGAGTCATTAGAAATGGAGGTCACCTTAGTAGCTGGTGAGGTGTGGCACCACAAGGGCTCCTGTGGTGTTGGAACTGTGCCAGGTCTTGACCTCCATGGTGGCTGAATCTTGCCAGGTGAGAAAATTGTATAGAATTTAAACTACACACTCAGGCAAATGGGCACACATTCTGATTGTGTTATGGCGTTATACAAAGTGCTACTATTGGGGAAAACTGGGCATAGTGTCTCTGTGTTCCTCCTTTTCATCTTTATTGAAATATAGTTCATGTACTCATATTCACCCACTCGAAGTGTACTGTGCAGGGGTGGTCGGTGCACTCACAGCATCAATTTTAAAACATTTTCATCATCCAAAGAGACCGGATCACTGAAAATCTTGTGAATGATTGTTTTTTTTATTGATTTGTTTTTAATTTTTTGGCCACGCTGCGTGGCTGGTGGCATCTTATTTCCCTGAGCCCGGATTGAACCCATGCCCTCTGCAGTGGAAGCATGGAGTCTTAACCACTGGACCACCAGGGAAGTTCCTGAATGATTGTTTGTATCAGCATTATTTATAACTACCAAAAAGTGGAAACAACCCAGATGTCCATCAGCTGATGGACAACACAAAATGTGGGAAATCCATATAGTGGAGTATTATTCGGCAACAAAAAGAAAGGGAATACTGATCCGTGCCACAGTGTGGGTGAACCTTGTAAACGGGATGCTGAGGGGAAGGAGCCAGTCACAAAAGATCCCAGTTGTGAGATTCTGTTGATACGAAGTGTCCAGAGCAGGTGGTTCCATTGAGACGGGAAGCAGATTACTAGTTGCTGGGTCCCAGGCCTCTTGGCTGGCCTGTTCTTTCCTGTTCATTACTACTGTGATTCACTCTATAGTAAGTTCCGTCCTGTCATCGTCACCCCTGTCCCTCCCGCACTGGCGGGGGCGGCGCCTTCCCCGCTGCACCCAGTGCGAGTTCCCCGACCCGTCTGTCTCCAGCCCAGCTGCAGCTCCAGCAGGTGGCGCTGCAGCAGCAGCAGCAGCAGTTCCAGGCACAGCAGCAGGCGGCGCTGCAGCAGCAGCAGCAGCAGCAGTTCCAGGTGCAGCAGAGTGCCATGCAGCAGCAGTTTCAGGCTGTGGTGCAGCAGCAGCAGCTCCAGCAGCAGCAGCAGCAGCAGCATCTGATCAAGTTGCATCATCAGAACCAGCAGCAGGTACTAGACGCCATCGTTCTGGACCCTGGCCTTCTCCAGGGCCCCCGAGCCTGGGACGAGAATGAGTGGGCCTACTGTGTGCCGGGGGATGGATCAGGTGGCTCCTGGTGCAGGCAGTTCATGTGAGAGTCTGCCCAGGCCAGAGTGAGGCTACCCTCCACTCGTAGCACGGCCTGGACCACCCCGTGGGTGTGTGTCCTCTGAGCACACGCAGGCCTCCTGACCTGTCCCTGAGTGTTCCAGTGTCTGGACGCGGCACTAATCGAGCCCTGCCTAGTGTCCCGCAGGGGTGGCCATGTCACATTAGGAGCCCTGCTTACAAGAAAACCTTTTCTCACGCACATGCTCTGCAGTCAACGCCCTGATGGGTTAAGCGTCTTTTGTCAGGCCTGTTGTGGGTTAAGGGAGGTAAGCCCTGAAGGACCCCCTGCTCTTTCCCACCTGCTCCAGGCCTTGGCTTATGCCTGCTTTTCCCGAGGCCCCTCCTGGATCTTGGAAGCCCCTCTCCCAGGGCTGACAGTGACTCTTCAGTCCCGCTTTTTTTTTTTTTTTTTGCGGTACGCGGGCCTCTCACTGTTGTGGCCTCTCCCGTTGCGGAGCACAGGCTCCGGACACGCAGGCTCAGCGGCCATGGCTCACGGGCCCAGCCGCTCCGCAGCATGTGGGATCTTCCCGGACCGGGGCACAAACCTGTGTCCCCTGCTTTGGCAGGCGGACTCTCAACCGCTGCGCCACCAGGAAAGCCCCAGCCTCACTTTTCCTCCTCATCCTGAGCCTGGTCCTGTGACCACTCTAGGGACCAAACAGGCATCCCTGGAGAGGCTTTGGAGATCTGCGGTCAGCTGAACCTTGCCCGGCTTCTCTGGGTCTGCGCCTATATGTGACCCCTTACCAAGCCCTCCAGACCCTTCCCTGGACCCTTCCTTTGTCCTCTCAGGCCTAGAGATGGGCCAGCATCTGGTGACCACGGCACAGGTGCACGCTTGGTGCCCTCGGTGTCCCTCTGTCTCCCGGGAGAGCATCCTGGGCAGACTTCCCAACACAGGATTCCAAGGCCGGAGAGGTGATGGGTGCTGCTTGTTCCACCCCAGATGCAGCAGCAGCAGCAGCAACAACTACAACGGATGGCACAGCTGCAGCTGCAGCAACAGCAACAGCAGCAGCAGCAGCAGCAGCAGGCTTTGCAGGCCCAGCCGCCAATACAGCAGCCCCCAATGCAGCAGCCACAGCCTCCCCCCTCACAGGCCCTGCCCCAGCAGCTGCAGCAGCTGCATCACCCGCAGCACCACCAGCCACCACCACAGCCCCAGCCGCCAGTGGCCCAGAACCAGCCATCGCAGCTCCCGCCTCAGTCACAGACACAGCCTTTGGTGTCGCAGGCTCCGGCCCTCCCCGGACAGATGCTGTATGCCCAGCCGCAGCTGAAACTCGTGAGTACCCAGGGCTCGCACAGCCGGGGCTCTTCTGGCGTCTCCTGTGCTGTAGGCGGTCTCTGGGGCGCCCTGGCTGTAGATGGAAGGTCCTCTTCTTCCAGCACCAGGACTCAGGTGGCCCTGGCCCCTGCCGGCCCACACATCCAGATCAGCAAGGGTGCGTGCATTCCGCCAGCTGCTGCATCCAGTGTGCGACACCCCTGCTCCCGTGTGGCACCTTGTCTTCCGAGCAGCATGGCTGATTCGGTGGTAGCCACAGGCATTGTAAGATTGTGGATGATTAGATGGATGGCAACATCCATCTTCTCACTGTTGGGGGGGGGCAGTGTACCACCTCCCCAGGCGTCCACGGTGGTCTGCTGACCACTCAGTTCTGTTCTGAGCAGAGATCATGACCGTATTTTTGAGGGGTGTATTGATGTAAAATACTGTTATTTTCAGTCTTACGCATCTGTGTAAAAGCAGAACCAATCAGTGACATTTACATGAAAGACAAAATATTGTACTGAGTCAAGGGTAGCTGTGTCAAGGGGCCATTTAAATGTTTTTTCAACTCACTTCCTTGGTTTTTGTGGCCTTTTCTATTTGCTGTTCATTGGGTGAAGTGGGGATATGGGCCACACCTGAATCGAGTAGTGGCTGAATAGTAAGCCCCACAGGTGCAGGCTGGAGATCTGGGGAGGGTCTTGAGGAGGGTCACACCTGTCACCTGGTTTCCTTTGAGGAGTCAGGGCTCAGAGTGGGGTTCTCGTAGACCATCAGCGTGCTCTGCTTGCTGCGGTAGCTGGTGGTGACGGCTGTGTGGTGGTGTCCCATTGGGGCAGGCGTCTCGCCAGGAGAGACAGGACTCAGTTGTGCTGACTCAGAGCCAGGCTGGCGTGGACACTTTTGATGAGCCGTGGGATAAGGGACAGCCAGTAGCGGGATATCAGCCAGGGAAGTGGTGGCAAGCCCATCCCCCTTCTCAAGGAGAGCTTAGAGACTCCGGCTCCCACAGACAGACGTGGAGGTGCTCTGCCCTGTGCCCTGGTGGCTCCAGATTGCTGCTCCCTTCCTCCTCAGGTCCGGGCTCCGATGGTGGTGCAGCAGCCGCAGGTGCAGCCCCAGGTGCCGCAGGTGCAGCCCCAGGTGCCACCGCAGACAGCAGTGCCGACGGCTCAGGCCTCCCAGATAGTGGGTCCCGGAGTCCAGGTGAGGGCCCAGAGCCAAGGCTCTGGAGGCGCCGGCCAGTGCATGTCCCCCGCGCTATGGTGAGGGTCCTGGTTGGATCAGGGCCTGTCCCTGGGGACCTTGGGTGGAAGCCCCGCCCGGCCGTGTCTGGGCCCCCGGCTTCACAGGGCACAGGCTGTTCCCACCTCCCGTGATGCCCCACATCTTCCCTCTTCCCTTCTCCTCCAAGAGGGCATTGGTGAGAGCATCACGATCTCTTCTTACCTCAGCCCTGAGCATGGGGCTGGGGGGATAGTAGCTCTCTAGAAACTGGGAAGAGCACGAGGACGGTGGCATGTGGCTCTGGTGGTCAGCACAGACTTGTGCCATGGCCCCTTGCCCTGCTGACTTGCAGGGCTCACCCCTGTGTGGCACGTGTGGCACATGTGGCCCAGGTCCACCATGCCCACCCTCCGCAAATCAGATGTCGATGGGACGGAGGAGACCTTCCGGCCTTGCCTAGTAGAGGCCACAGCCTCCTTGGTGTCTGGGGTGGGAGGCTGGGCCTCATGACTTCTCCATAGACGCCCCCCTCACCTATGTCCAGTCCCCGGCCTTGGTTCCTCCTGTCTCCACCCAGCAGTGGCAACACTGATAGTCTGGCTCAGAAGAGTGTTGGCTTTAGACAGAGCCGATGTGGTGAGACCCCAGGGGCGACCCGGCCACCCCGGTGCTGTGCGGCACTGGGCTGCCGTGCTGAGTGTCCCTGCCAGCTCCTGCCCTGCTCACTCCCCGAGTCCGTTGAGCTCCCTGTCTGGGGCACTGGACCGTGTGGTAAGCACTGCTGGGATGCCGTGTGTTCCCTTAGCATTGGTGGGAGGCTCAGAAATGGTCCTTCCTGGTCCCCGCCACATGGCTGGAGTCCGTGGGAAACACACCGCTGAGGGGAACTGTGGCGTTTGGAGGTAACTCTTGGTCACTGCGCCACATCACCAGCTTGCCCACCTGTGGTATTATGTGCAACAAACCACGGACATCATGTCTGTAGCTGGGGCAGGGCTGGAGGCCTTGTATGACAATGTTGGCGTCCTCTGCCACCACCCTGTGTGTCCCAGCCTTGTCCCCAGGCCTCCTGGGGCTCTCTGCTCTCGGTGTCCTGTGCGGAGTGTGGTCAGAGTTGGGATGGCAGCAGCGGCATGGAGTGACTGCCCAGCCGGTGGAAGCCGCTGCCCTTGCTGCCTCTCAGGTCTGGTAGGAGAGTGGGAGGCTTGGCCCTCTGACCTGGCAGCTTCCATCCTGAAGCAGAACTTCCCTTTTCACCCCAGTTCTTGGTGTTTGGGAAGCGAGCAGCCGAAGAGTTGCCGTCTTCCAATGGTCCAGGCCCCACCTGCTGGTTCGTAGGCTTCTCGCTTGGGTAGGTGGACTCCCTGCAGCTTCCTGGGCGCCCATCACTCTCCTGCAGTGGCCGAGGGGGATGCGCTCCATTCCCCATGCCAACCCCTTGGCTGTGCTTCCCTTCCTGGTAGTCACATGCCTTTGCTTCTGCTGGAGGTCCCAGTCCAGCCCGCGTTGGGCTTGGCCGTGGGCTTGATCACCTTGAGGGTAACCTTGATTTGTAACCTTCTGCCCCCTCGTGGAGCACGGAGGGCTGACAGCCGGCAGGGCTGAGGCAGGCGTGGGCTCTTCTCCCCAGGTGGGGACTCGGGTAGCTGGGTGGGGAGGAGGCGCCACCACTCATACCTGCGAGCGGGTTTGGTTTTCTGAGGATGTACCTTCAGGGTTTATGGGAGGGGTGTCCACCCCATCCTGAGTGAGAGGCCAGCCTTGGGCAGAGTGGAAATGAGGCCTCACCCTGCCTGCGGGGCCGCACTGTGGGTTCCCAGGTCTGGCGCAGGTATGTGTGGGGTGCTTGTGCAGGTCCCTGGGGGCCAGTTGGCTGCCTTACTGTGAGGATCTAGCAGCAGTGGGGTTCCCAGGGTGCAAGGAGACCCCTGAGGGAGAATCTCTGGATTCACAGCCTTTTTTTTGCAACCTCGGTGGCAACAGTGGACAAGACAAGGCTACAGATACTCTGACCCTAAAACTAGAAAACAGGTGGTGGCTGTAGAAGGTGGGAGAGGTTGAGGGGAGTATAAGCAAGGGAAGCATTTCAAGCGGGAGAGCCTGCTTGGCTTCTTTTCTTTCCGGTTCTCTAGGATTTTGTGTGTGGCTTCTTTCTTTTTCACGTTACAATAGAAGTAAAAGGTTGTCCTGTAATTAGAGTCCCTTGGTCAGTGTTGCCTTCCGTGGCTGTGTGCTGTTCCTCTTATGAACGTATCCTGCTGTCCTTAATTATTGTCTTGTTCTCGGATCCTGAGGTTACTTCTGGTTTTTTGCTGTTAGCCGTGGTGCATGGCAGGTCCTGGACCGTTTGCTGACATTTCCCAGAGTGACTCACGGGGGCATTTTGAGGCTCTCGATCGTACCAGCTGGTCACCTGCCAGGAGGTCGACACATACGTGCGGGGCCCACGCATTTGACCTCAGAACACGGGGTCCAGTGTTGCAGTGTGTGAAAGAGGTGCTGGGATGGGGGCCCAGGTGGCGGCCCCCAGGCCTGGTCTCTCAAGTCTGCCCTCTCAGAGCAGAGGAGGGGGGCCTCACTGTGCGCTTGGTGGTGCTGGGGCCTGATGGGTGGTGGGGCTCACAGCCCAGGCTGGAGTTTGGGATTTGGGTGTTTCAGGAAAATCAGTGAACACTGTTCTGTATGCCTGACTCTGACATTAACTTGTGTAGATGAGAGAGATGTCCCCGTCACATCCCTGTCCAGCGGGGCGCTGGACTAGGACTCAGCGCGAGAGCCACACCCCATGATGGCAGGTGAAAACCAGGACAGGATGCGTCTCCATTTCCCAGCAGCCCCTGTGCTTTGGTCTTCCTGCTTCCTGTTCTTCCAGCATTCGGAAGCTTAGCTGTCATTCTTACGTTACAGACCCCCTTCCCTGATGTGTGTGTGTGGAACAGTGTGTGGAATGGGCTGAGCACACCCTGCGCCCCCTCCTCTCCCACTGGGCCCTCCACCATGGCCACTCGGGGCCTCCCTGGGCGGATGTGTGTTGGGAGGAGGAGTCGTGGCCTGGCTCGTCCAATACTGTAGACGTCTGGTGTGTCTCGTTAGGATCTGTGGTCAAGAGAAAACCAGCTTTCCACCTCGGGAGCTCTGTGACCAGAAAAACAGTCCGCAGAGATCAGAGTCAAGCTTTTCATTCCTGATGACTTTGTTTCTTCTGGGAAGAAATAGTGTCTCTTTCACACCACCTGAGTGCTTCTGGGCCTCTCTTGCTCTGGAAGGAGCACTGTTGAGCTGCCACGGGGCTCACAGCTGGGCACTCCAAAGTACAGGGTGGTGCCGGCCAGCCGTGGCCTTTGGGTGCTATCAGCCACACCCCGGGTGCAGGCAGGGGAGCCCAGCACAAAGCGTGCTCCACGCACTGACATCCCACTTAGCATCTGGTAGGGTGGGTGGTGGGCTCTTCAGGCAGTGCTCAAGTTTCGACAGACAACAGGAGAACGGCTTCCTGGCCCACACCCTGGAAGTTCTTTTGTTGGTGTGGCTGCAGGACTGTCCACTCCCAGCTCTGCATGAGGGCTGCCTCGCACCCACAGCTATTGCTGGGGTCATGTTGGCATCTGCTACTGTCTGGGTCACCCCTGGCTTGCAGTGTCTGCTGCATGCGACCTGTTGGTGAGTGTGGGACATACCTGTGATGCCAGGGGTCTCCCCGCAGACCTTTCTCCTGCCTTGGAGCCCTGCCCTGGCAGACTGCGTGGACGTCAGCACTGCCCTAGCCTCACAGATCAGCTCATCCTCCTGGGGTAGATGTTTTGTTTCCCATGGATCACCCTGCCTCCTTTCAGAACCTGGCTGGGTGGTTTTCATTTAGTTTCATCATCACATTGTGAACAGATGCAGGCCCTGCTCCAGTGCCATGTCCAGCCTCGGTGTGCAGAGTGAGGGGGGCAGGCTAGAGTCAGTCTGCAGAATTGGGCAGGCTGGGAATGGAGGGTGGGGTGTGAGCTGGGCTCCAGGAAGCAGGCTCCGGAGGTGATGCTCAGTGCACAGGAGGTTGCTGGGGTGTGGGGGAAGCTCTGAGTGAAGCTGACAGGGCCTTTGGGGTGGCCCCCTGTGGCAAGCGGCTGGGCCTTTGTGCACTGTCCGCAGGCTCTGGGCAAGGCTGCTCTGCAGGGCTCATTCCGGGGCTGCTGGGCACAGGGCTGGCGGGCAGCTGTCTCCCCGAGCCGTCCGCGCTGCCAGAACTGGCATCTTGTGCCTCTCGGGTGGAAAGTAGTTACTTCCACACACTGTCGATCTTAGTCCTGGGTGTGTGATTTCCTCCCTCTGCGTTCTCGGATGAATATGGCATTGTCCTAGTGATGACAGCGGGATGGGGACCCCGCTGTGTCCGCCCTGACGAGGACTGCAGGGAGAGCCTGCCGTGCAGAGAAGGGAGCACGATGCCAAGCCGCTCCCCTCTCCCCTCTCCCAGTGGGGTCTGCTGGTCCCACAGGGGCTGCTCGGCTGCCAGACCACAGAACCCCAGGCCAGGTGTGCTGGCAGGGGTGACAAGGGGAGGCTTTGCTCCCGTCAGGCAGGCACAGGTGGGACACAGAACAAGATGGAGGCGTCCCCACTGCCCTGCAGCTGGGCTTGACCTTGGTGCTGTCAGAGCTGGGGCTGCCTGTGGCCTGAGGGGTCTTGTTGAGGTTTGTGGGACGGTCCTGCCTGTCATAGAGCGCAGCCCTCACTGCCCTCCCATGCCCACAGGCTCCCACACTCACGAGGCAGGGACCTGAGGGTGTCCCATCGCAGCCCAGAAGCCCCCGCCAGGAGCAGAGGGCCACCCAGCCCGGCCCTTCTGCCAGCGTCTTGGTCACTGTGTGTTTGCGTGGGCACCCACAGGTGGGGGCGTGTGCCCGTGTTTGTATTTGAGAGGCGGGGCATCAGAGAAAGACCAGGGTGTATGGCGAGGCTGCGAGAGAGAAGGGGCTTGTGAGTGGGGAGTGGGGGGGGGGGCGTGGGGCGGGTGAGCAGGCTGAGCCCCTCCCCCTCCAGGTCAGCCAGAGTGGCCTCACCATGCTGTCGTCACCGTCGCCGGGCCAGCAGGTGCAGACCCCGCAGTCGATGCCCCCTCCCCCCCAGCCGTCCCCGCAGCCCGGCCCACCCAGCTCACAGCCCAACTCCAACGTCAGGTAGGCCTGGCCCGTGCCCCTCCCCACTTGGCTTGCAGGCCCAGGCTCATGGCCGCGCTCCCTTTCGCTCTGCACAGCTCCGGCCCTGCCCCGTCCCCCAGCAGCTTCCTGCCCAGCCCTTCGCCGCAGCCCTCCCAGAGTCCGGTGACGGCGCGCACCCCGCAGAACTTCAGCGTCCCCTCCCCAGGACCTTTGAACACGCCTGGTAAGTCGGACCCAAGGCGGGCACAGTCCGGGGCCCTGCGAGGTGAGGGGCTGACGACCCTTCGTGGGCTGGGGCCGTGCTCACTGGGCCGTGTCCCGCAGTGAACCCCAGCTCCGTCATGAGCCCCGCGGGCTCGAGCCAGGCCGAGGAGCAGCAGTACCTGGACAAGCTGAAGCAGCTGTCCAAGTACATCGAGCCCCTGCGCCGTATGATCAACAAGATCGACAAGAACGAAGGTGGGGGCCGGGCGGGCGGGCCGGGGGCAGGGCCTGCAGACGCCCAGGCCCTTGTCTGAGTGCCTCCTTCTGCCCCAGACAGAAAAAAGGACCTGAGTAAGATGAAGAGCCTTCTGGACATACTGACAGACCCCTCCAAGCGGTGAGCTTTGCCCCTAGGCCCATGGGGGGAGGTGGTGCTGCGCCCACACCTCACAGAGGGTCCCCAGCTGCTTGGCTGGCCTACCCTGTGGCCCTCAGAGCCCTGCCTTACTGGGCTACTGGCCTTGATGGGCTTCAGTCTGACCTGCAGCCCTGCCCCTGATTTGCTGGTGGCCTTGGGCAAGTGACTGTTTCTTAGTTACCCCATCTGCAAAAGGGGCAGCTGAGCTCGAAAGCGCTGGCTGTGGGAGGGAACTGGGACGGCGTCTGAGAAGCACTTGGAAGGCAGAGGACACGCACTCATGTCCTTTCCCTTGCCCACTGGCCGTGGGGCTGCTGAGCACCAGAGCTCAGCCAGCGCCACCTCCTGTGCATGGACTGGCCTTGGGATTCCTGCCCTCTCCCCAGGCCTTGGCTCAGGCCAGGCTCCCCTTCCAGAACGTCCTCCCTGTTCTGCTCATCTGGGCAGAATGCTGGGCACTGAGGAGTGGGCCTGTTGGCGGTGGACGGCCCTCCAGGCCCTCATTGGGGTCATCGGGATGGGGGGCAGGGGCCTGGCCTCTGTCTTTCCCCTTGATCCATCACGTGCGTGCCTTGTTCTGCCAGCCAGGACCAGCAGCTCCTGGGTGCGGGGCCATCTTGCCTTAGACTCTGGGTCTGGGAACAGCGGGTGGGCTGGCTGGGGTTCCTGGGGAGGGTCCTGGTGGCCCAGGCCTCAGGTCTCGCTCCATCCAGAGGAGGCCAGACGGTGAGTGGTTGAGATGAGAACATGAGAGTTGCCGGCTCCCCTGTCCTCCCACGTGGAGAGTCAGCCACATCTTCTCCCCTATAGGTGCCCTCTGAAAACGCTGCAGAAGTGTGAGATCGCCCTGGAGAAACTCAAGAATGACATGGCAGTGGTGCGTGGGGTGCTGCGGCCTGGTGGTGTTGGTAGGGTCGCAGGCATCTCTGGGGAGGTCAGGGCTCACCCCACAGTGACTCGGAACCACGAGCTAGAAGGAGCCTGCAGTCAGAGGTGGGCAGGGGACCGTGCTGCTCAGTTTGGGGACCCTGCTCAGGAGTCCTCTTCCAGGTCAGGTCTGCAGTGTGGGTGGGGTGAGAACATGGGAGAAATCAGCCTCTGGGTGCGGGCCCATGGGTGCTTCCTTCCCCCACAGGTGTGAGGGTTCTCATGCCCAAGGCCAGGCCCAGGGGGAGTAGAGTGTGTCCAGGATCAGCCATCCTTGTCTGCAGGGGTGGAGGTGGTGGGGGAGCCAGGAGGTCTGGCTGTGAGTGAGGATGAGGACCTGGGGTCTGGAAAGCCGCCCCAAGAGTGGGCTGCTGACCCTGCTGTCCTGTCCCAGCCCACGCCCCCACCTCCCCCGGTGCCGCCAACCAAGCAGCAGTACCTGTGCCAGCCACTCCTGGATGCCGTCCTGGCCAATATTCGCTCACCTGTCTTCAACCATTCCCTGTACCGCACGTTCGTGCCTGCCATGACGGCCATACATGGCCCCCCCATCACGTGCGTACTGCCCAGGGCTTGGTGGGCGGTGGGTCCTGGGCCATGGCCTGGCCAGCATGGTCAACACGGCTGCCTCCCCCAGGGCCCCGGTGGTTTGCACCCGGAAGCGTAGGTTTGAAGAGGACGAACGGCAGAGCATCCCCAATGTGCTCCAGGGGGAGGTGGCCCGGCTAGACCCCAAGTTCCTGGTGAACTTGGACCCTTCTCACTGCAGTAACAACGGCACCGTCCACCTGATATGCAAGCTGGGTGAGTGCCGGGGGTGGGGTGGATCAAGAATGAACCGTGGGGGCTTCCCTTGTGGCACAGTGGTTGAGAGTCTGCCTGCCAATGCAGGGGACACGGGTTCGAGCCCTGGTCCGGGAAGATCCCACATGCCGCAGAGCGGCTCGGCCTGTGAGCCATGGCTGCTGAGGCTGCGCGTCCGGAGCCTGTGCTCCGCAACGGAAGAGGCCACAACAGTGAGAGGCCCAAGTACCGCAAAAAAAAAAAAAAAAAAAAAAAAAGAATGAACCGTGACTGGCAGCCTCAGGCTCTGCCACTGCCCAGGACCACCTGCTCATCCCCAAGCCCCGGGCCCTCTCTGGAGCCTGCCCGCTGTCCTCCTTGGTCCCCACACGCTCCTGGCCCAGGACTCGCACTGGGGGCTGGGCCCTGAGCCTGCACACTCTCACCTCTCTCCCACGTGCAGGGAAGCCCCCTCCCTCCTGTCCAGCTGCGACTCTGCTCACCTGAGGCCCTGGGGAGACGGAGAAGCTCGGGAGTCGGGGGCCTCGGCTCTGCAGCAGCCTCACCAGAACCTCTGGGGCCTGGAGGGTGCTGTTGGGGAGCAGGGCTATGAGGAGGGGCAAGCCTGGTCACAGGTGCGGCCTTGTGTGTTGCAGATGACAAGGACCTCCCCAGCGTGCCACCGCTGGAGCTCAGCGTGCCTGCCGACTACCCTGCCCAGAGCCCACTGTGGATCGACCGGCAGTGGCAGTACGGTGGGTGACTGAGAGGACGGGCCACAAGGCTTTCCTCCACGTGCCCCTGCCCTGCTGAGGCCCCCTCTTCCCCTTCCTCCTTGGTGGGCAGGAGCAGATTGCCCCTCAGTCACATGGAAAGAGAAGTGTCTCTGACCCCATGGTGTCCCTGCAGCTCTGGGGCAGCCGTGTTCCGGGGATGAGGGGTGAGCAGGCCCAGTGGCTCCTGTGGGCCTTCTCAAGGCTGACCGGGGGGCACACATGGGAGCTTGGGCTCATGGGAACCCATCTGGGTGACAGGCCCAGAGAGAACCTCGGTGATGGGAGACAGTCCCCCCGAGGCTCAGAGCTGGCATGTAGAGGACCAGGACAAGGGCCCTGAGGCCGCCCTGAGGCTCCAGACCATTTTGTTCCAGCTCTCCACTGGCACGCGGAGCTGGCACCCCTGGTCCCTAGGCTGGGTGGGGCGGGCCAGGGTCCTGGCAGAGAACACAGCGCTCATGGCCGGCCGCTCTGCTGCAGACGCCAACCCTTTCCTGCAGTCGGTGCACCGGTGCATGACCTCGCGGCTGCTGCAGCTCCCTGACAAGCACTCGGTCACGGCCCTGCTCAACACCTGGGCCCAGAGCATCCACCAGGCCTGCCTCTCAGCCGCCTAGCCGCCACCGCCACTGCATCTCCGGCTGCCTGCCCTCCAGGGACCGTGGGGCAGCCGGCAGCCTCGTCGGGGCCCTGTGTCGGACATTTCTAGATGCTGGCTTCCTTAGAGAGCTTGGGCTTAGGTTAACTTTCCTGCTTTTATCTTCTGCCTTGGGGACCTGCCAAACATTTCCCACACTTGGACGGGACTGGGACAGGCAGCTGGCTGCTTCCTCCAGGAGCCAGGCATGCCCCCGGCCCTGTGCTCCTCAGGCTACTATCCCCGCAGCCTCTGCAGGGCCCGTGTCCTTCCTCGGGAACTCAGGGTCCTGTGTGAGCCTCTTGCGTGTGCGCCAGAAAGCTCTTCTACCGTTTCCACAGGGGAACGTGCAGGACATAGGAAACCCTTAAAACATGCAGAATTCCTTGATCACGGTTTTGGGTTGAGATCGTGCCACCGTTGGCATGTGGGGCACGCCACAGGGAAGCTCCAGGATCCGGGGGCGCTGACTGCAGCTCGAGGGAAGGTCTGTTTATGGCTGTGGGTCCCCGGCCACCGGCCGGGCCTCATACCTCATGATCCTTCTCATTCTAGCCCTGGGAGTCTGCTCAGCACTGTGGAGGCACCCGGGAGCAGGGGTGTCTGGGTGGATCTTGTTCCTGGCGCCGTGCCCACTGGTTAGGCACTTAGGCCCACTCGGGTTAGGATGTTGTCCTTGGGACCCAGCGTCTTAAGAACCCTCCAGACAGTTGAGGGCTCCTGACGGGGTGCCAGCCGGCCCTCTGGCGATGAGAGGTTCCCCCCTTTTGTATGTGCATTACCGTGTCTTCTGTGGTTCTTATAATAAATTTATTATTCCTGTGTTTGTCATGAATTTGTCACTGTGTCCCCCCTCTCTGCAAGTCAGGGGCCCTCCATCCAGTGAAGGGCACTGTCAGGGCTGAGCCAGGTCCCCCACCTCGGGGATGGCCACCGATGCCCAGACGTGCCTGTCCTGGTTCACCCCCAGGTTCCCTGCTGCCCAAAGCAGAAGCGGCAGAGATCGGCACTGAGGACATGGCCGGTTGGGCCAGGAGGACTGTCCTGCCAGGCAAGGGTCTGCGCTGAAGCTGCTGTTCTGGCGATTGAGGGGGTGGTGTGAGGCCATTGCAGGGTGGGGCCCAGTGTACAGGAGAGGACCTTCTCCCGTGGCCATGGCTCTAGCCGTCCGTGGAGGAAGGCAGGCTGGGTGGGGCCGCTCACTAGCTGTGTTCGTCAGTGGACACAGGACAGTGTCTTGCCTACATGCCGGGAAGGCAGCCCCCTGCACTCCAGGAAGAGTGTGCAGGCTGTCCCGGAGCTTGTTTTCTTACAGGGCAGCCGCAAGGCCCTAGCAAGCAGGGTGACTGCCCAGCAGGCCCTGCCCATGGCAGGGAGCAGAGCTAGGGGCGCTCAGGGCAGCAGTGCCTGATGGCCAGTGAGGAACAAGACTCACAACAGGGAGAAACGAGCTTTATTTCCAGTCTTCGACAGGTAGGCTCATGCTTATTTCATAATGCACACGTGTGTGGAAGTGCAGAAATACCAAGCAAAGAAAGAAACAGTTCTTCAGCCCTGAAACCACGTACTTTATCTGCCGTGGGTTTGGCTGGTCTGGAAGTTAGGCTGGCGTAAACGTACTGGGATTCTTTGGAAGTGCTACCTGAGGGTGAGTGGTCATGGGTCTGGCACTCAGAGCACCGAGTAGTGCAGCCACCGGCTCTGCACTGCCTGCAGCCGTCTCTGCCGCTCGGCAAAGTTGCTCTTGAGGCTCCGCTTCAGTGCGGGCAGGATGGCGCACTCCGCCATGGGCGCCCGGCTCAGGATCAGGCTGGGGGACAGGGGTGGGGGGGTCACTGCGGACGCCCTCCCCGGCCCTGTGACCCCTGGGCTCAGAGGCTGCCTACCTCCTGTGCCAGTAAGACTCACCATTTCTTAGAGACGCCCCTGGTGGCGACCTTGGGGAGCAGCATGGCCCCCGGGTGCAGAGCCTCCTGGTCCCTGGAGAGGGACGAGTCAGCCGTGAGCCCCAGACAAGCAGGCCCCGTTGTGACCCAGTGGGCCGCATGGGGCACTTACTTGGGAGAACCGGGCCTGGCCTCCTCGAGGGCAGCCCTGTGTCTCTGGCTCCTTTCTAGGAGGGACTTGAGGTGTTGCAGCTGGAAGGCAGGGAGAAGAGGCACGGTGGGTGGGGCTGCGGGGGCCCCGGGGCACCCTGCAGCCGAGCCTCACCTCTTGGGCCTGCAGGAGGTTGGCATTCCACAGCTGGCGGATGACCACTTCGCACTGCTGGAGTGTGGCGGGCTTGCACAGGTGCAGGGGCAGTCTCATCGCGGGGGGCACCCCTGGCACCTGCTTGCCCTTGTGCAGGCTGCCGGCCACCGAGGTGGCTGCTGGATTAGAGCTCTCCACTTTGTCTCTGAAACAGCCATTAGAGCAGACCAGAGGCGGCCTACCGGAGGTGATCTCTCACACCCCCTCTCGGGGCAGCACCTGCTCCAGCGTGAGTAAGAGGGTCATCTCCACGGCCTCCTGGGGCCCTGGCTCCCTTCCGCCTACCAGGGTGCTCCAGGCACCAGGTGGCGGGGGTGGGTCTCTGGGGCTGGCTATGACCCGGGCCCATCACTTCCTCCCCCCTCAAGGTACACTGAAGAGTCAGATGTGGTTTGAGCTGCCTGGCTGCCCTCAGTCCTGACCACAAACCCAGGGTGCTGGTGGAGGGGGGAGCCTAAAGACTGCAGAGAAGCAGGAGCCTGGCCTGCTGGTGGCACTACCCAGGGGACAACAGGGTCCCTTCTTCGGATGCAAAGTCCAGGCTCACTGCTGCTTCCCAGGAAGTCCCAGGAACTCGGGTGTCACCAGGGACTGGTCCTGCTCTGGTCTGCTGGCCCTGTGCCTTCCAGAGGCCAGCACAGCTCCCAGGGTGGAGCCCAAACCTGACTCAGGGTTCTCTTGGCAAAAAGCAAGCTAATGTGGAGGCCAAGTTACTTTGTTTCTGTGCTTTGAGAGAATGCTTTAGGGGCTGCTGCTGGCCCCTCTTGCGGGCTCAGGTCAGCACAGGGACCGTGCAGGACCCCCAGGGGAGAGGAGAAGGCAGGGTCCACCAGATGGGCAAGCCCGGCTTTCACGAGCTTGCTTCCCTCTGAAGACCTGCCCGTTTGGAAGGGCAAAGCAATTGGCTGGTTCCAGGGTGTGAACCTGCTGAATGCAACCCTGTCCCGTGGGGCTCACGGAGCCTTACTTGGCCAGCCCCTGTGCCCCGAGGGCTTTGTCCACCCTGCTGCTGTGAAGCAGGGCAGCAACCAATGGCTCCTCCTCCAGGTCCAACTTCTGGGGAACGTCAGCTTTCGAGTCTTGCTTCTTAGAGGAGGTGCGCTGGGACCTGGCCTTGCCTTGCGAGTTAGCTGAGGGTCAGACTCAGACAGGGCCAGTCACTGGGCATCAGTCAGCTGTATGCACCCAAGGGGCCCCACCCCTGCATCAGTTTCCTCTTTGTAAAGGGGAGATGGTAATGGCCTCCCTCTGAGGGCCGCTGGGAGGCACAGATGCGGGAGTAGGGTGAAGCGTGTGGGTGCCTGAATGCTCTGAAGCGGACGCAGTGGTGGAGGTGGCTCCCCGAGCAGCTGAAGTGCGGAGAGCCCCACACACCCTGTGGGGCAGTCTCCTCACAGGCCTCAGTAAAGGCCGGGGTGGGGTAGCCAGCAGCTGTTCCCTGACTTTGAACCCCATTTCGGGCAAAATGAAACGGAAGGAAAGGTCTGGGTGGCCCAGCCTGTGCAGGTCTGCTCTCCCGGGATGAGGCCCCTCACTCAGCAAAAATGCCACAAATCCAGCCTCTGTAGGAGGGCCAGCCCACCCACGTCCTGTCTGCTCTAAGGGACACAGTGAGCAGCAATGAAGACCACTCGGGGCTCCTCTGTCACACGCTCTGCCTGACTCATGCCCCACACTGACCATCTTGCCTTGGCAGCCAAGCCTGTCCTGCTTTTGTGGCCTGTCCTCAGGCCTCCCTCCAGCCGACCCACTAACCTGTCCGCTGGCCTCAGCTCCCTCCTGGAGGTTTCAGCTCACAGGGCACCTGGGGACCCTCCTTGGTCCCTCAGCTACCCCTTAACCCCCAAGCCCATGGGGACTGGCAGAGGCGCTCCCCTGAGGTCTGCCCCACGGAGGACCACTGTGGGCTTTCAGCATTCGGCTCAGCACCCCACTTGCCGTTTCAGGCCCGGGGGCCCTGAGGTCTGTACCTGCTCTTCCCCCACCCTGAGCACAGAGGTGCTGGTGTGCTCACCTGACACCACTGTATTCGAGATGGACTTGTTGGACTGAAAGCTGGAACTGGAGATGCTGCCTGTGGGGGCTGCTTGGGGTCAGCAGAAGGTGGCAGCAACGAGGCTCCCATCCCTGCAGGTCTCAGCGCTTCTGCACGGCTGCTGTGGCTGAAGGGCCAGGCCCACCTGTGCCCGCCTCCTGGCTCTGCAGGTCCCAGCCCTCCCCCACACTCTGGTGAGGCAGCCCCAGACACCGCCAGTGCCAGAGGGAGCCAGGGCCATGGGGCTGGGGACGGAAGAAGCAGTGGGACCTGAATGGGAGCACGCCCTCTCTCGAGGTCCCATCAGGGGACCCCTGACACTACGTGCCCACATCAGCTCGCTGGAGCTGTGCCACCCCACTGGAGAAGGGCCCTCACCACCCCATCCTCTGCGTATCTCCCAGGAAGAGAGCCCTGGGCACACCCCAGACTGGGGCATTCCAGGCGGGCACCACTCACCGCTCAGACCACCTCCCGATGTCAGACCTGGTCCCAAAAGTAAGAGGGGAGGGGAGCCCAAGACGCGACCTGGTTGTTCCCAGGCTGGGCTAGGGGACAGGCAAGGTGAGTGGGCCACAGGTGATGACATGCCCCCATGGTTGCTGTGGAGATGATAGGGAGGACCCTGGAAGGAGTGTGCCCAGAGCTTCCTGCCCCAAGGCCAAAGGGACCAGGGGTTGGGGCTGGGGCTGTGCTGGGGAAGCCTGGGGCAGCAGTCCAAGTGAAAGCTCACCAGGATAGTGAGGCCAGGGCTGGGGAGGGGTGAACCTGGGCAGCCCCCTGCCCCCCAGCTGCTCTGTCCACTGCCCCTGCTGCACAGAACTCAGGCTTTGGGGTCCCCAAGAGTGGCACTTGCTGTGCTTGGGTGCATGAAGTCACCCAGACCATGGCTGGGAGCGGTCTGGCTGCCCACGCCCCCTCCCCACTGGGATAATTCGCGTGGGCATAGGCCGTCTGGGGGGCCTGCTCTTGAGGGCAGTAGCTTCCCATCAGGCACCTGTGGGCCTGTCTTACCTTTCTTCTGCGGCTTCTGATTCATGATTAGCTTGTAGTGAAGATCTGAAGACAAGCACGGGCCCTCCTCATGGCTACTCTGAGAAAAGAAGCTTTGCTTTCCCTGCCCACTTCTCCTTGCTGAGCCCGAGAGACCCTGCTCCATGGACCAAGCCTTTGCCTTGGCACCCTCGGGTCGGTGATGCCTCTGGCTGCTCCCTGAGCCAGAGCCCCTGTGTGAGAGCCTCTCCAGGAACCCATTCCTCCATCCGTGACGTCTACAGAGCAGTCTCTGCCATGCGGGGCCTGGGCTCCAGGGCGACAGAGGCGAGTCAGGATGACCCAGGTGTCAGGGATCGTTCTGGGGCCCCGGATCTGGGTGTGCTTAGTTTGTGAAAATTCATTAAGCTAGATACGCGTAATTTGGGGGTGTGTTTCACTTCTACAAGTTTTTCAAAGGAGGCCGCCTGACCCTGCCTGGAGAGGAGAGGCGGGCCGGGTTACCTTCGGGAATGGCGCGGCCAGACCCGCCCCCCGCAGCTGGCTTTGGTGCTGGGGCGGGGAGCCGAGCCCCGAGTGGCCGGGGTGGGACTTGCGGCCCTGCGTCCTCCCTCAGCCTTCGTGCGCCGTCTGGGCGCCGTCTGAGGCAACGCCCGCGGCGCCGCCCGCCTCACCCTTGTTTTCCCGCTTCAGGTGCTCGATCTTCTCGTGGAGCTTGACCAGCGTCTCCGAGTGCTGCTGCTGCAGGAACTGCAGCCTCTTCTCCAGGTCCAGCGATCGCTTCTGCGCCTCGCTGAGCCCGACCGGCGCGCCATGCTGCCCGGGGTACGGAGGGACCGCGGGCAGGCGCGGGCGCGACGCGCCCCAGGAGCCCGGGATCCCCGAGCTGGGGGGCCGCAGCCCGGCCGCCACCCCCGCCGCGCTCATGTAGCCGCCTCCGCTGCGGACGCACGGCCACTCGGTGGCCCGTCTACCGATGCTCAGCTCGGCGTCGCCATGGAAACGGGCGCGCCCCGCAGGGGGGCTTTGCGTGCTACGGGGCGGGGCCGGGGCAGGGCTTGGGCGCCGGGGCAGGGCGGGGCGCCTGAGGGGCGGGGCTTGGGTACCCGGGACAAGGTGTGCGGCGGGGCGGGGCCTGGGTGATACGCCTGACTTAATTGGATGGCATCCTCTGACTTAAACCACAGAGAATCGTCTGCCTTTACAGGTCTTAATATTTAGTTTTGTTCACTGCTTGTGGGGTTTTTTGGCTTTTTATAATATTTTTTGATGTGGACCATTTATTTTTAAAGTCTTTGTTGAATTTGTTACAATATTGTCTCTGTTTTTTGTTTTTTGGCTCCGAGGCATGTGGGCTTTTAGCTCCCCAACCAGGGATTGAACCCGCACCCCCCGCATTGGAAGGAGAAGTCTTAACCGCTAGACTGCCAGGAAAGTCCCACTGGTTGTGTTTTAATAGTTCACTTTTTGAATAGATGATACAATTACAAGATGATACGACTTTAGATGGTAAGATTTTGATTCAAAAATCAGGTAGAATTTCCACTTCCAATAATCGCAGAACCCTCGTGTTTTATGAAATGTGGACAAAATACATGAAACAGCTGTCTGAAAGCACTGGAGAAGGGCAAAAAGCAGGCAGAAACTGGAGGAAGGCAGCTCTTGAAAGATGGCTGTTTTCTCCTGAGGGCTCCTGATCAGCCAGACCCGAACACAAAGCCACAGCCTTATCGGCTGGAGAGGGCGAAGGATGCAAACTGAGGGGCGCTGGGAAGTTTGGGGCCATAAAACCCCCTTCAAGTACATGGCTGGCCTGAAATGCACATGTAGGGGTAAGATTCCAAAGGTCCCAGGGCAAGACAGAGCTGGAGGCCGAAATGGCCTAACTCCAGGGGAGACCGAGTTTGGAAACTGATAGAGAAGCTTGGTAAACGCCTCAGTTTTCCATTTTGGCCCAAAAGGGCCACATTTTGGGGATAAAGACTGTGTTTTAGAAATAAGGGATTTGCACTAAGACTAAGGAAAAAATCAAAATACGTTTGCTGTAATAAAACTTAAAGCCCAGTCTCCACAAGTCCATGGCGATCTTCCCATAATTCAACTGTCTAGAGAACAGAATTCAACACTCTTCAGAGAATGATAACAGAACCCAGAGTCTCAATGACACATCATCTGCAAGGTCTGAATTACACTAGTAAATACCAGACATGCAGAGAAACAGACAAATGTGATGGAGTCAAGGACAGAAGTATATCCTCCTCGGTAGAAATGATTTGAACAATGCAGATAAATCCAAGTCCACCCTGCTCCCTGTCACGAGCGAGGCATGGTCACTGCCTGAGCCTTCTCTGTGTTTACATACTTACACTCGTACACTTATGGGTAGGACTCATTTGTCTGCAGTGGCCTTCAACTGTTTCTGTGTAATGGGATCATAACAAACATATTGCTTTGCAACTTGGTTTATGTTTTTGGTTTTTTTAAATTTATTTTTGGCTGCTTTGGGTCTTTGTTGCTGTGTGCAAGCTTTCTCTAGTTGCGGCGAGCAGGGGCTACTCTTCTTTGCGGTGCGCGGGTTTCTCATTGCAGTGGCTTCTCTTGTTGCAGACCCCGGGCTCTAGGCGCGCGGGCTTCAGTAGTTGTGGCACACAGACTCAGTAGTTGTGGCTCGCGGGCTCTAGAGTCCAGGCTCAGTAGTTGTGGCACACGGGCTTAGTTGTTCCGCGGCATGTGGGATCTTCCCAGATCAGGGATTGAACCCGTGTCCCCTGCATTGGCAGGCGGATTCTTAACCACTGAGTCACCAGGGAAGTCCCTGGTTTATGTTTTAACAGCAGGTCTTAGAGAACATTCCAGGGAGTTCATGAGTTCCTGCCTTTGTTTTTTATTTATTTTTTTAGCATTTTATTTTTATTTTTTTGAATTTTATTTATTTTTTTATACAGCAGGTTCTTATTAGTCATCAATTTTATACACATCAGTGTATACATGTCAGTCCCAATCGCCCAATTCATCACACTCCCCACCCCCCCCCCCCCCCACCCCCTGCCACTTTCCCCACTTGGTGTCCATACATTTGTTCTCTACATCTGTGTCTCAGTTTCTGCCCTGCAAACCAGTTCGTCTGTACCGTTTTTCTAGGTTCCACATATATGCGTTAATATACGATATTTGTTTTTCTCTTTCTGACTTACTTCATTCTGTATGACAGTCTGTAGATCCATCCACGTCTCAACAAATGACCCAATTTCGTTCCTTTTTATGGCTGAGTAATATTCCACTGTATATATGTACCACATCTTCTCTTTCTTTTTTTTTAGATGTTGGGGGTAGGAGTTTATTAAATTATTTATTTATTTTTGCTGTGTTGGGTCTTCGTTTCTGTGCGAGGGCCTTCCCTAGTTGTGGCAAGCAGGGGCCACTCTTAATCGCGGTGCACGGGCCTCTCACTATTGCGGCCTCTCGTTGCAGAGCACAGGCTCCAGACACACAGGCTCAGTAGTTGTGGCTCATGGGCCTAGTTGCTCCATGGCATGTGGGATCCTCCCAGACCAGGGCTCAAACCCGTGTCCCCTGCATTAGCAGGCAGACTCTCAACCACTGTGCCACCAGGGAAGCCCCGTACCACGTCTTCTTTATCCATTCATCTGTCGATGGGCATTTAGGTTGCTTCCATGACCTGCCTGCCTTTGTTTTTTATTGCTACACAGTATTTTCTGGGCTCATCCTATTTTTGCTCTCCTGGGCCATCCTAACCCTCCAGGGCAAAGTCAAGGACAGGCTGACTGTTCCGGTGACAGTAAGGGCCAGGTGTGCAGTCCGAGAGGAGGCTCCTGCTGCTGCACCAATTGTCAGCACCGTAAGATGTGCTTCAATTAACAGGGAGAAAACGTTTTCACCTGCTGACTCTCTATTTTTAGAATTGGAATTACCTGCTGATTTAAGTAAACAAGTGTCACATGGGAAATGATGACTATCTTTTCAGCCACAGCTGAGGGCTGTGATGTGGCACCCTCCACTCCTTTGCAGTCACATAAGAGCCTAGAGTTCCTGTGCATTATCTCATTTCATCCTTGAAATAAATTTGTCAAGGCAAGTGTTATTACATTTCCAATTTATGAACAGGGAAAGCAATGTGCAGAAAAGGGTTTAAAAAAAAATAAGTAATATGGGGCTTCCCTGGTGGCGCAGTGGTTGAGAGTCTGCCTGCCAATGCAGGGGACACGGGTTCATGCCCCAGTCCAGGAGGATCCCACATGCCTCGGAGCGGCTGGGTCTGTGGGCCATGGCCGCTGGGCCTGTGTGTCCGGAGCATGTGCTCTGCAACAGGAGGGGCCACGGCAGTGAGAGGCCCGCGTACCGCAAAAAAAAAAAAAAAGTAATATGATGGGAAAACATGTATATTGTTGTACATATTTTCATTTCTCTGAATTTTTGTCACTTGCGCTTTTGGTGTCATATCTGAAGAACCATTAGTACTTCACAGTTATGAATATTTACTCCTGTGTTTTCTCTTGACAGTTCTAGTTTTAGCCCTTTCTTTTACATCCGTCTGTGATCTGAATGTTGGACAGGTCCCTTCAACACAGTGACCACACGTTTCCTCGTTGGTTTTTGTTCAACGTTAGACTGAAGAGCCCCTTTTCCTATCCTAATCCTTTTCTGCTCATGTACAAATTAATTTATCCAATAGTTCATATTTTGATTCCTGAGATGTGAGGAGCTGGATGTGTATATAATAGGTAAAATAAGTTATTTATTGAGCAGCTACTATGTGCTTGCTCAGTGCTGGAGAGAAAAAGTACAATAATTGTCCACAAGGAGCAAACATACACATCGGAGAATCAGTCACAAGTATTTATTCAGCATCTTGAAGTGCCCAGCATCACACAAGTGACAAGAAGTATCTCTTTGCTTTTATTTGTGGACCAGGGCGGGTGAGTACAGAGGGGGCTCTTAGTCCAGCCTGGGAGGTGGAGAGAAGGGGAGGCTTGGGGGGGGCGGGGGTCCCCTGGTGGGGAGGGAGGGGGTGCAGACCCTCAGAGACCACCTGAGAGCCCAGCAGAAACCCCTGGCCTCCTGGAAGGGGAGGTCAGAGGCCACATCCGGGTGGTGGGGCCAGCTGAGTCAGCAGCTCCCTCCCCTCTTGACTGGCTGCCCCAAGCTCGGGTCTTGTTGGAGATTTCAGATACACAAACCCCAAGCTTTCCGGAGGACGTTCTGTAGGACACAGACGCTTGGATGTTACTGGATGCCTCATGGGAAACAGGTCATGAAGGACAGTGAGTCCAGCGTGGGCTGCAGGGCTGGGAGATGCCGCCAGGAGGCCAGAGCCGGGGCTCTGAGAGGCAACCAGGTTTGACCCTTTGGCAGCGGTTGGGGTGGTGGCCAGAGGGTGAAAGTCGGGGTGTTGGGGGAGTTGAGGGGTTGGGCAGTTGGCATAAACCACCAGAGGCTTCGGTGAGGTGAGGGGAAACACGGAGAGAACCCCCATCTTCAGCCTGACCTCCGGAAGCGGGGCCAGCAGCCTCTCCTCGGGTGTGTCCCCCCAGATGTGCCCCATCCCCCAGTACCACCCCTGCGGCGGGGCGCCCCCCCCCCCCCCCCCCCCCCCGCCGCCTTTCCACTGCTGCAGCTCTGAAACCAAGGGCCCTGAGGATTGGCATCAGCTAGATCCAATCCACCTATGATCTGCCTTCCCCGACCAAGTTCACTTCAATTTTTTAACAACAGCTGCTTTTTTAAAATTTTATTTAATTAATTTATTTTTTTGGCTGCGTTGGGTCTTCGTTGCTGTGTGCGGGCTTTCTCTAGTTGCAGCATCGCTTGAATTGTTTTTATGAAAATTTGCGTATCCTCTGAGTGGCACGGAGCCTAAATGGTAAGACTTTTGCCTGAGTTGTTGCTTCAGGAACTTGGTATCAGCTGTGTCCAGTTCGAGCTGAGCTGGTGAGTGGTTAGGACCACCAACCCTCCAACTGAAACCGAGCACTGGGCTCATGTGCCTGCGGGCAGCAAGTCAACCTCTGACGGCGGGCTTTGCAGCAAACTAAGGATGTTGTTTGCAGGGTGCCGAGCAAGGGAGTGGGGGGCAGGCCTCAGACCCGCTGCAACATGGCCTCTGAGTTAGTGGTTTTTAAAGGGGAAGTATAGAGGGGCTGGGGTTCATCACCTTAATCGTCTGTGACCTGGGGGTCTCTGTCTCTGTAACCTGTACAGGCCATCTTGCCCCGGAAGATGACTCAGAATGGCACGTGAATGTGATGCTTATTGGGAAGCTGAGGCTCCAGGCACCTGACCTGCATTGCTCTTTATTGATGAGGCAAACGTGACCACGTAGGTGCAGCCGGGAAGGAAGGGAACCAGAATTTAATTGTAAACTAGTCACGGGACTTAGTTTCCACCTATGCCGTCAGGCCAGGCACTACTCCTCAGAACCTGTGTCCCTCACAGAACGGCTGCCTCACCATTTTCTTATTTCCAATCACCTTTCCCCACCTCCTGTGCCTCAGCCTCATCCTGTAAATACCCGTCCTCGGCCCTTGGATAGGCAGCCTCTTTTCTCTGCTGTGAACCTCGGCATCTCAGCATCTGGCTCAGTGACACTTCTGCCTCTGCTCCATCCATGCCTTTCTCTACTCTGCAGCTAGAGCCCCGCAAACTAACTCGGGGTCATCGTGAAGGTAGGGGTCCCCATCGCCCTCATCCGCTCAGCTCCCTGGGCGCAAGCCACTGAGCACCATGGGCCCCAAACCACCCTCCCCAAAACCAGGCCCCAGGCCCAACCACTGGCACCCTGGCCCCTTTTTTTTTTTTTTTTTTTTGGCTGCTTTGGGTCTTCGTTGCTGCGTGCGGGCTTTCTGTAGTTGCAGCGAGTGGGGGCTACTCTTCATCGCAGTGTGCGGGCTTCTCATTGCGGTGGCTTCTCTTGTTGCAAAGTACGGGTTCTAGGCGCACTGGTTTCAGTAGCTGTGGCTTGCGAGCTCTAGAGCATAGGCTCAGTAGTTGGGGCACATGGGCTTAGTTGCTCCACGGCAAATGGGATCTTCCCGGACCAGGGCTTGAACCTGTGTCCCCTGCATTGGCAGGCGGATTCTTAACCAGTGCGCCACCAGGTAAGTCTGCTGGCCCCTCCTTGACCTTAGTGTTTGCTTCGATCTTTGACTTCTGGACTTTGCACCATGAGGTCCCCCACGTGTCCCAGCACAGCTGAGGGTGGCACGCAGTAGGTGGCTGTTCTATGGTTAATGGGTGTGTAGGTGAAGTGAGGCTTGGGGGCGAGCAGAACCCTGGAGAGATTGTGGGGGGGCAGGTCCTACCCTCACAGGCAGGCGGATGTCCATCAGGGGAGGCCAAGAAGAGGCGTCATCAGGGACCGGTGCCACGGATGGCAGACCCCAGACCATCATCTCACAAAGTTTGTTAACAAAAGCCCGTAATCTATCAATGTGAACTTGTAGAAACTGTCTTACTTCCTATTTCCATAGAATTTGACCAAAGCAGTTGCCTGGCCCAGGGAAAGGGGGACATTTAACACTCGGGCTAGGCCATGTGGGTTGGTGAGTGCATTTCGGTTCCCCGGTCACACGCACCCCTGCAGAAGCCACAGAAATTGCAACACAGGTCCCAGGATCCTAGCTCTTAGTATGAAGACCGTGTCTGCCCCACTGAGTTGTAGGCAGTGTTCTCGCATCTCAGACCTGCCAGTGGCTGCCCTGTCCCATCACAGCCACGTCCGTGTTTGCATCTGCCCAAGGGAATCCCATGGTGAGGGACGCTGGGTGCCCAGTGGCATCTCCGCAGCCCCTGAATGTGCAGAGGACCCCATGTAGGAGGCCACCCTGGGGGCGGGGCCAGGCACCACAAGACTCAGGACCAAGAACAGGTTTATTCAGATCCATGGTCGGCTACAAGTTTGGTTTGGTTACTGGTCACAGGCCCCAAATGCCACTACTCCGAGTTTACATCAAACTACAAAGCCCAATACTTACAGTTTGAAAACTTAAAAAAATACACCAAAGACTAAGGCTTTTAAAAATCTCAGCTGAAAAGTTCTCCCTGGTGCGTCATCTGTAGAATGAAACGCGTGTGAGATGCTGTGAGGATTTCTGACAGTGAACTCACATTTGTCATATACTTTGGATATTTAAATCTTACCAAAAAATCAGTGTCTTTGAGCGCTTGATTTGACTGAAGATACAAATGATGCTTTTGACCATCTTTGGTTGTAGACCACCCACAGGGAACAAGGTGGTGACAGCCCTGATGACCTGCTCTGTGGCCTGGGGGCATCTGTGTTCTCGGAGGGTCTCTCCTCAAAAGCAGGCATATGGCCCAGACTTGGAACTACTGGGAAAATACAGTGGCCCTAACTTTGCCAAACACGGCAGCAAAATCAGGTTTAAAATCATGAAACAGAGAACCATTGTCTAATTTTCTTAGGGCTCTCTTTTAGGGCCTGATTCTTCTCTGGAGCCAGAGGCTGGGTTCCCATGTTGGGGTCTCACTGCCCACCTCCAGGGCGGCAAAGGCAGAGGCCGCAGGCCATCCGGGGAGGCCCAACTCCTGAGCTTCACACGCTGAGGAAGAAAAAGGCATCGCCCTGCAGGCCCTCTGGCTGAGGAAACGGGGAGGCCCAGGGCCGGCAGGCTGCCCGCCCCTTGTGGCTACCTCTCTGCCTGGCCCTGCCCTCGCTTTTCAGGTTCTCTTCAGATGGTTCCAGGGCTGCAAGAAAACGCCCCCTGGAAGCACGAAGGTGACAGGTGTTGGGTGCAGAGTGGCCTCCCTGGTGCCTGGGGGTGGTGGCCGGCCTGCAGTCAGAGCTGGTGCAGCTTGCCCTGCTCGGTTAGCAGTGTCATGGCCACGGCGTAGAGGACATAGCCCAGCACGAGGAGCAGGGCACAGAGCAGAGGCCCGATGCAGAACAGAGAGGCCACGAAGAAGGCCAGCAGCAGGGCCAGCAGCGTCCGGTAGCTGCCCAGGAAGCGCAGGCTGAGCCGGGGGCCCCGGGCAAGGCTGGCCGCATGCCCCCGCCCCACGGGGCTCAGCAGGCGCCTGTCCGACAGCCCAGGCTCCAGGAGGTGGTAGCGACAGAAGCTGCCGAGGAAGTCGGCCCGTGAACACAGGGCCGCCATCTGACCTGCGAACTAGAGCACAGACAGGGCCCACTCTCACCTGCCGCTCGCGGGCTGGCGGGGCGGGGGGGTGGCCCTCCCTCCCACACTCACCCTGCGGTTGATGGCGGAGGACAGTCGGAAGAGCACTCGGACCAGGCTGGCAATCTCGTAGCTCCGGATGGGCTGCAGCTCCGAGTCTCCTTGGTACTCGATGTCAAAGCGCCGAAGCCCGTTGATGATCTGGAAGCAGCAGGAGGTGAGCCCCCGGGAGCCATGGCCACACTGCCCAGAGGGCCCTGGAGAGCCCGACCCTTCGGGATGTGGGCCTCACCTGATACCGGCCCAGGGGTGTGAGGATGAGTCCGTCCTCCCCCACGATGCAGTCTGGGAGCTGCTTCTTCCCGTTCTCATCCTGCGTGGTCCCCAGGGCGAGTGTGAGCTGGGCGAGCTGGGCCTCGCTGAGCTGTCGGGGAGATGCCTGCCGTCACTTCCAAGGTGGAGGGAGGCCTTCCCCCCCGCTGGGCCTCAAACGGCAACGAGGGGCCCAGGCACGTGACACCTGGGGGAGGTGAGCAGGGCCAAGGACGTACCCGGAACACTTGGCACAGGTACTCCAGGGCCTTCTCCAGGTACTCGTCCGTCTTGCGGACGCTGTCCTGCCCCATCTCATCCAGGTCATTGCCCGGGTAGGAGCCATTGGTGTCCGCGGGGTAGAAGCCCAGCCACGACAGGAAGGGACGGGCGGCCGTGCTCTCCCCATACTGGTCAGAGAGGGACTTGGCCGTCTGCTTGGCCTGTGTGATAAGCTGAGCCAGACGCAAGACCTGTGGGTGGGTGGGTGGGTGGTTAGCTGGCTCGGGGCCGCCTCATGGCACCGACAGCCCAGGGGTGGCTTCCACACGATGGAAAACTTAAAATGAGTTTTAAGGACTAAGGTGCACTTTCCAAGAGGGTACATCTATCATCAGAAAGAAACTAGACTCCACTGAACAAGACAGGGAAGGGGTGTGAAATGCCAGAGCCCAGAGGGCCCCGACTACTCACCAGTGCCCGGATCTCGGGCCCGAACATTGGGGTGTACTTGCAGTCCTGGCCCTCCAGGCTGTACACGTGGCTCTTCACCTTGAAGGAGGCGTCGGTGATGGCTGGTGGCCATGACGACAGGAAGCTGCCAGTGAACGTGGGCACCGTGAAGAGCCTGTGCTGGCGGTGGGGGATGACCAGCTCGGGCTCCAGAAACAGCTGCTCGCCTGGAAGGCAGGATGTGAGCCTGGCTGCGGCTCTAAGAGCACGGACATCGGGTCCCACCATAGGTCCCCGAGGGCAGTGACCGCACAGCGCAGGCCCAGCTCCCAGAAGTCCCTCCACCCCCACCCATCTCCACAAGGGAGTAGCTATGAGGAGAGCCCAACAGCAGCCCACAGCCTCCCAAAGCCACTACGAGCCACCAGGGGATGCGGCTCAGAGCTCCGTTCCCCTCCTGTGGGGCACACACGCAACCCCTGCGAGCGCACAGGTGACAGGGCTGGCAGGGGCCTCACCCCGCTGGATCATCTCAGCCAGGTTTGGCTGCGCGAAGACCTTGGCCACGCGGAACACCATGAGTGCGTTCTTGGGGCTGACAAGGTCCGTGCGCAGTGCGCGGCTCAGGAAGCCGAGGAAGAGCTTGGTGTACACAAGCAGGTTCTCTTGCACGAAGGGCGCCCTACGGGCAGACGCACATCAGGGCTTCTCTTCAGCTTCCGGTCTCCCCCAGGTATCACGAATGGTGGCAGAGGGGCCGGGGGTGACACGAGGGGGCAGGACAAGTGGGCAAAGGTGAGGCCCCAAGGACAGAATCCTCCACGGACGAGGCCCATTCCCAGGAACAAGGCCACTGGGGGCGGGGCAGCCACACTGCAGGGCTGGCTAGGAAGGGCTATGGGGAGGTTTATGTGAGTCGATGTGGGAAAGAGACAGAAGGACAGAGGCCGCCCGTTGTCCCCAAGAGAGCAATCCTGGAACCTGGACAAGTCCCAGCAGGGGACAAGGGGGTGGCCCGGGCCCCCTGCCTGCAGGACCTCGGGTCTGGGCTCACCATCTCTCTGACACACTCCGGGCCTGGCAGTCGCTGCTTGGGGCCTGCTTCTCAGGCGCGTACCTCCAGGGCTGCAGGTAGCTCAGCCACATCTCCAGGACCTGGGGAAACACGTGCAGCTGGGGCAGGTGGCTGGCACTCAGGTGAGCAGGGGCGCAGGGGGAGCCCGTGCCCCCTCAAGATGCCTGGCCCCTCAGATCAGGTCACCCAGCAGGCTTTCCCCCGAGTGCAGCGGAGGGCAGCTGCGTGAAGCTGGGAACCCACCCTGCGTGGACAGCTGGGTTCAAGCCCCCTCAAGATGCCTGGCCCCTCAGAACAGGTCACCCAGCAGGCTTTCCCCCGAGTGCAGCGGAGGGCAGCTGCGTGAAGCTGGGAACCCACCCTGCGTGGACAGCTGGGTTCAAGGTCGCGGCTGGCGGAACAGCACAGGAGGCCCCCAAGGCCTCCCTTCCCTCATGTGCACACGCAGGGCAAAGGCCGTAGGACAACACTCACAGCTCTGAACGACGCGTCCAGGGGCCAGTGGCCAAAGCAGTGCTGCAGAAAGAGGTAGAGCTTCTGCTGGACAAACCTCGGGATGGCGGCCCTGTGGGGGAGGGGGCATCACCTCACAGGGGAGCCTGGCACCCCCTGGGGGCAAGGCCTCCTATTTTTAGCCCCATTCCTCAGAGGAAATTCGAAAGTTCAGAGAAGTTAGAGAACATTCCAGGGACACACAACACACGTGGCCGATCCAGTGTGGCTCCTGTGTGCACCTCAGCTCAGCACGGCCCACGCATCGCCAGCTCTGCTGGCCCTGTTGGCCTGGGAGTCAGGCCACGGCCCTTGCCCTGCCGGGGTGGGGTGGCGTGGGGGTGAGGTGCAGCACCGAGCAGCCTGCTGCTCTCCTGCCACAGGGGAAGAAGGGGGAAGAGGGGGCAGCAAGATGGGGCCTCTCCTAGGCCAGCCTGAGAAGCAGCCAGGCGGCCCCCACCCACCTCTGGGCCAGGGTGGCAGTGAGGAGACAGTCCCAGGAGGGCTTGAGGTGACTGCCCCCCTGCCCACAGCCCATACCCACCGTTTGAACTCCTCCAGGGGGCTGGCGGCGTGGGAGTGCGCAGAGGGCGAGGCCTGCTCGGGCCGCAGGCTGTTGGCGAAGGCGTGCAGGTGCTTCAGCAGCAGCCGCACCACCAGCACATGCTCCTCGGTGGGCATGAAGGACTCCTGGGGGGGAGGGCCCTCGTCAGTACCTCGTGCTGGGCTGTGCCTCTCCCCCCATGGATGCACCGCACATGGCACCCTGGGACAGCCACTGGGGCAGAAGCTCTGCCATGTGCTTCCCTGCACTTCAACCCCCTTCATGGAGCCTCTGAGACAAACGCCCTCAGTCCTGCGAGCTCAGCTTTTGGTTCACAAAGGCCAGGAGGGTCTCTGAGACCACCCCACACACGGGGGAAGACTGGGGGCCGGCCGCCTGCTCCCCACGCCCACCCCTCGGGCCTTGACAGACTTGTTGGAAGTGCTCTTAGCAGCTTCACCCCAAGGTGAGCAACGCCAAGTGGGGTGAAGGCGGCTCCCGGCCCTACGTGCAGGAAGCCGGGCACTGACCGGCAGCCCTTCCCACCCCCCGCTGCCCAGGGCACGGTCTGCACAGGCCTCCCTGGCACGGAAATGCCTCCACAGGCCCATGCAACACACCCCAAGGCCGCTATGCCTGGGGTGGGAGGCGGGGGTAATGTCCTTCTGCATGTGTCTATCTTTAGATCATTATATGGTAGATTTGCAGCGTTTTGGAAAAAAAAAAAAAGGGATACTTTAACAGTAATAAAAAACCACAGAGCATCCTCTGTGCCAGGCCGTGACTCTGCCTAGGGAGCTATCCCCTTTATCGTTCCCAGGAACTGAAACCCCCACCGCATCTCGCCCCTGCCCTCCACGTTTGCAGGGGCAACTCCCTGCCCCACGCCCAGCAACCACACTGGACACCACTGGGCTACTTTCTCTCTACATTTGTCAGTCAAAGTGCTTTCTTCCAGTGCCTCCCCCTTCCCTGAGCCAAATGCCCACAGGAGCCCCTGGTCACAGCTGCATGTGGACACTTATGGGGCCAGGCCTCCCGCTGTGGAGGTGAAGGCAGGGGCCCTGCTCTTTGCCAGGTGAGGCCCTCCCCAGCCCAGGCCTGAGTGGCACCCACTTCTGCATGTGGCCCGCCCTCAGCACCCCTTCTGGAACATTCTCTCCCTCCTCAGTGCAGCTGCTGCATCTGCTCAAATTCAAGTTCAGTGGTGTGTGGCCCCACCTAGGGCGAGGGGGACAGATCCCTGGCCGTGAGCACAGCTCCAGACACACGTCTCTGCCCAGACTTCCCAGCGGTCGTGTCATGGAGCAGCAAACTTCACAATGCCATTGGCCCCAAACACCCAGCTCACTGACCACAGTCCATCCCTGGTCACTCCTGCCTAAGCAGACGGCAGTCCCCACAAGGTCACTGCCCATGAGCCCCAGGGCCTCCACATCCTTGGTCAGTCCCCAGCACCAGGCCTGTACTGCAAAGGCCACACTACTTTGCCCCCACGAACCGGGGCTAAGCACGGAGCCCTAAGACACCCGAGGACTCGACACCTTGGTTGGCCTGGGGCTTGGCCAGGTGGGTTCGGTGACCTCCCCCACAGCCAGTGGGATCTTGTGCATCACTCCCAGCCATGTGGCCGCACACCCTGAACCCAGGTCCAGGCCGAAGGGCCTGGCTGTGCTTGGAACTGGTCTCTGGTCACCCCAGCCGGCCCCCAGCCAGACCTTGGCTACTGCGCAGGACATGAGCTCTGGGGTTAAACCATGGGGCGGGGGTGAAAGGGAACAAAACGAAAGCAGCCAGTACTTGGTGGGCGTGGAGGGCCTGGAGGCTGGGTTGGGCAGGGCTGTGGAGGGCGCTGCAGACACTGAGACGGTAGTGCAGGACCTCCAGCTGAGAGACAACAGCAGAGAAGCCGAGAGGAGAGGGCGGGGGGAGGAGGAGGGGAGAGAAAGAAATAGTGAGAAAGAGCCCAGAAGTAAGGACAAGAAAAACAAAAAACAAAAGCACAAGTCAGTGACAATCCAAACAATCACAGCCCAGCAGCATCAGGCCAATGAGACGCCAACCACCCCCTCCAGGCGTGATCCTCCAGCTGCCAGGCAGAGGGAGGACAGAACCGCAAGGTCACCTGGGAGGCCCCTCCAGCCCCTGAGGTCAGCCCGACCCCATTGCACTGGGTGCAGCACGTGTCAGCAGCCCATCCACCTCCCTGGGACACGCTACTGGTCACCAAGGCCCGAAGACCCAGGCTCAGTAAAGAAACTTGAGAAGCCAGTTCTAGATGGAGGCCTCTGCCCAGAAGAGAAAAATATGTAATTTATTGGACTTCCTGGGTTGTCCGGAAAAGAAATTTATCAGCACATGATGGAATCAATTCCTAGGTGTTAAAGACCCAATCAGAGTCCCATCCTGAAAGGTTTTGTGCACGGGGCTGGTTCCCAGCCCACCAGGCCCCACATCCTGGAAATGGTTAACGTGGTGCTAACACTTACTGGTTCTAATTCTGGGAAGACCAACCTCTACCTCCCTCTACCTCACCAGGAGCCCCCAGACACTAAGCCACACACACCCAGAGGCAGCTGGAACCCTGAGGCCAGGGGTAACAGCTGAGCTGGCACACCGTCCGCCCCCAACACCAGAACCTCCACCCTATCTCCCTGCAGCTAAGCACAGCCAGAGCCGGCCCAGCACACGTCCTGCCCCATGAGGGCCCGCCTCCTGCCCCAGCGCCATGCTTCACACAGAAGAGGCCTGGAGGAACGTGCCAGACGCTGGGGAGACGGGCACAGCCAGAGACACGCAGGGCTGGGGCAGGAAGGGGCACGGCCGCACTCAGCAAGGAAATGGGGAGCCCACGGTCCCACTTCAGGCCCCAGCCCGGGCCCAGAGCACCCTGCAGGGAGCGTGCATGCGCCTGCACCCAGCCCGGCCACAACCACACCAAGGGAGCTCCAGGAGCTGCACTTCCTGCACCCAGAAAACCCGGCAAACTGACCCCAGGGTTACGTGGGGCCAGCAAGGACTTCCACGTGGTGTGGGGCAGGCCTGGACAGACGGCAGGGGCCTTGGTTTCCCACACACCCCACCTCCTCAGGTTTTGTTTTTCGGCCTCAACAGGTGGCAAAGGGCAGAAGGTTTCTTGGCGCCTGGTGGGGCCTTCATGGTGCCCTCCCCCGCACCGACCCAAGTCAACCTGAGCAGCTCTCACCCTCCTGTGACCATGGGGAGGAGCGGGAAGACCCCTCCCCATATGGACTTGGTGTTCCCCCAGGTGACCAGCAGCTCGGAAGGGCCCTCTGGCCGGCAGAGCTACAGCTAAGACCTGAAGCGGGTGGGCTACCCTGGGCTCCCGACACAGACGTGCAGACAGGAAGGTGACACCGCGAAGCAGCCTCTGCGAGACCAAGCCCCGCGTGCCCTGCAGGGGAGCCAGCCCTGCCCGCCGGGCAGCGGCAGGAACGTGCAGCAGCAAGTGCACTCTGGAAGCAGACGGGGGCATGGTGGGCACTTTGCGACGTGAGAAGCCCAGGATGGATTCCCGGCCCCACCCCCGTTCTCCTCCTCCTCCTCCTGTGCGGGGCCAAGGACGGAGGCTGGGACACCCTGCGCTCTAAGAGGAGTATTGGGTCTGCGTCCCAGTCCTCCGTGCGGCAGAACCCTGGGCTGGGGAGCAGGACCACCGAGGGAAGGGCACAGGCCACTGTTCCAATGTGACCCACAGATTCTTAATTCCTAAGGAAGCCCTTGAGGAGTCTGACTGGCAGCGGCAAAAGCAAAGTCTAAGGAGCAAACTGCTGCACGGAAGCGGTACACTGCAGTCCTGCGCGCAGGCTGTGGACCTGAGCACCTCTCCCTAACTCAACAGAACTGTTCTACCCCGACCAGCCCTGTGGCCACAACCCCGGGAGGGGGCCAGGGACTCCAGGCCTCTGCACACACGTGAGCTGCCCAGCAAGGGAAGGAGGAAAAGGAGAGGAGGAGGAGACAGCCCAGGCCACATGCAGGAGGGCGTCAGACCCCACCCACCACCAGGAGGGCTGCTGCCGCTGCTCTGGAGGACGTGGAGGGCAGCAGGGCCACCAAGGTGGGCAGAGTCTGCTGGGTGCCACCGCAGCAGGACAGCAGGAGGCGCTGTGACTCCCAAAGGCACCCACGGCTCCCACACCCCAGAACACGAGCACCACAACCACATCTGTTCCTGCTGCCACGGAGAGGGCTCTGCAAGTAGCATGGGGAGGCCCAGAGAGGATGGGCCTCAGCCGCCAGGGTGCAAGCCCAGCACAGAAGACAACCTGCCTGCTGCTCAGCACTTGAGGGAGGTGAGATGGCAGGTTGCTGGGTCCCACTAGCCAGTCCTTGAAACTAACTGAAATCAAGGACAAGCAGCAGCAGGCCGACCAGGGCCAGCGCGGGAGGTGGGAAGAGAAACCATGGCAGCAACATACCTTGGCGTGAGGGGACTGCATTTTTTGGTACATCTCCAAAGAATAATGATGAAGCCACATTTCAACAAAAACCTGCAAAAAAGCATAGCTGGTCAAAAGGTCTTTGACAAGGCCATCAAGACCATTCAATGAGGGAAAGAACAGCCTCTTCAACATGTGCTGCTGAGAAAACAGGGTGCTCACATGCAAATGAGCACAGTCAGACCCTCACTCTACATCGTAAACAAGAAACAACTCAAAATGCATCAAAGACCTAGAATATAAGAGCTAAAACTGTAGAACCTTAAAAGAAAGCATGGGGGAATGCTTCACAACAATGGATTTGACAGTAATTTCTTAGATGTAAGTCCAAAAACATGGGCAACAAAGGAAAAAACTGGACTTCATGAAAATTAAAAGCTTTAGTGCATCAAAAGACACAACATACGTAGTAAAAAAGTAGCCCACAGAATGGAGGAAAATATTTGCAAATCATGTATCTGAAAAAGGATTAACATCCAGACTATATAGAGAATGCCTAGAAGTCAACAACAAAGTAGATCCCAATTCAGAAATGGGCAAAGGACTTGAATAGACGTTTCTCCAAATAAGATACACACGTGGCCAACAAGGCCGTGAAACGCTGCTTAGCAACACGTCACCAGGGCAGAGCAGACCAGTCACGACGATTAGGGTGGCCACAGTCAGAAACCCAGAAAACAACAAGTGTTCCGAGGGTGTGGGGAAACTGGACCCCTTGTGCACTGCTGGTGGGGATGAAAAATGGTGCAGCCACCATGGAAAACAGCATGGCAGGTCCTCAAAAAACTAAACAGAATTACCGTACAGCCCAGTAATCCCACTTCAGAACAGATAATCAAGAGGACGGAAAGCAGGGTCTTAAAGAGAGAACTGCACACTCATGTTCACCACAGCCAAGAGATGGAAGCAGCCCAAGTGTCCATCAGATGGACAGATAAACAAAACATAGTTACACACACACAGCAGAATTTAACTCACCTTTAAAAAGGAAATTCTGACACATACTACAACGTGGATGAGCCTTGAAGACATTATGCTGAGTGAAGCCAGTGAGTCATTAAAAAGAAAAATACTATGTGATTCCACTGACAGAGGCAACGAGAAGAGTCAGATTCACAGAAACAAAGCAGGATGGTGGGTGTGGGAGCTGGTGGGAGGGGGACTGAGGAGCTGCTGTTTGACAGGTATAGACTTTCAGTCTTACAGGATAGGAAGGTTCTGGAAACCCATTACAACAATGTAAACATACTTAGCGCTACTCAACTATATGCTTTAAAATGGTTAAGACTTAGATTTTACATTATGTGTATTTTACCTCAGTTCCCAAATAAAATCAGAACCCCATCTCATCCACACTCCAGGCTCTCAACAAGCCAGGCTTGTGGTGACCCACTCAGCCCTGGAATCCAGCATCAGAACAGCAGAATATCTCCAAGGTGGCGAGACAGGCCTGGGGTCTGCTGGAGCCGCATAAGGTCACACACAGGACTGCCGTCCCCACTGGGGCCCCCTGGCATGGAGGGGATGGGGTCCTGCTGAGCAAGGGGAGGCCCCCCCATTCAGTGCCCTAAACACCTGCTGCAGCAGGGCTTACTATCCACCCCTCCCAAACCACAGTAGCGGTCAGAGAGGGTGACCCAAGCCACTGGAAACTGAAAGGCTGGGCAGCCATCGTGTCACCACAATAAAATAGGACTCTGTGGACAGGGGGTCCCGGGGTGAAAACACTGCCAGTAACACAGAGGTGAGACAGGTGGGCAAATTCTTTCTCATCAGTCACAGCAGAGACACTAACAATTGACAGCCACCCCCAGACCAAGGGGCAGTCTTTAGGCCCTTGCACCCTGGGGTGGGCGGTGCTGAGCAGTTTATCTGAAACAGAAGCAGAGAAGGCACCCAGGCTCTCACCTGGAGTAGCGTCTCCGACCTCCAGATCTCGTGGGAGGTGGGGTCTGCATTCACAGACGTCTGATGAGAGATGTGTCGCTTCAGGAGGCTGGTGTGGTGCAGGCCGTAGGATGCAAAAGGCACGGCTGGCGTCCTGAGGGAGACACAGAAGCAGATCTCTGTCGGCAGGCTCCCACGGGTGTGGCCACAGCAATCTGGGCCTCAAACCCAGGACAGCAGCGACAAGTACAACCCATGGAAGTGTCCAACGACCCTCAAGTCCATGTTGCTATGTGTGAATAAACAAACAGAAGAGTGAATTTTCCATCCACATCTGCCCACTGCAGATCTCACCGCAGGACGGGTGAGATCAGAAAAGCGTTGTTTGCCAACCACCCTGTTCACAATGGATCTGGCTGAAATGAAGACCATGAGAGATGCCGACACTGCTGACAAGAGCAGGGGCTCAGTGGATCTTCCCACTAAGTCCCCCGTTCACTAACTGAGGCCCAAAGACCTTCGTTAACTTTACAGGAGGAAAACCTGGCATCACCCTCAGCCCAGCAAGCGGGCTCATGGGCACCACGGCTGCCACTGCGGTGCCCCCACCAACGATGCCCAACCTGGGCCTAATCATGGGAAACACCTGAGAACCCACTGTGCACACACCAGCTGTCAAGGTCAGGAAAGGCTGTGAGACCTTCTGGACAACAGAGACACAGCCGCGTGCGGGAAATGACCCTGCACGGAACCCAGCTGCGTGACAGCCATGAGTGGGGCAGCTGGTGAAACCCAAGTGGGGTCTGGGGATGAGATGGTGGCCTGGCAGCAACACTGCCTCCTGATTTGAATGGAATGGCCGCGGTTACAGAGATGCACACACTTTCAGAAAACACACCCTGAAATGTTAAGAGGTAACGGCGTCGTGTCTATAACTTATTCAAATGGCCCACGAAAAAACACACACAGATTAAACAGAATAAAACAACTCGGAAATCAACAGGCATGAAGGGCCTGTGAAAGTTCTTTGTTATATGTAGCAATGTGTAAAATCTGAAATTATTTTGTGAAAACAAATCAAATCCAGCCCAGAAAACTGCCTAGCAGCTGAAGTCTGCCTTTGAGGGGGTGTGAATCCAGGCCACACTTGGGTCCTCCCCCGACCCCAGATCCCTGGCCCCCACTCCCCAGGCCGCAGCATCAGCAACACCTGTGCAGCCCCTCCCCCGCACTCCTCCTCGCCATCCCCTTTCCTTGGGAGCTTCTGTCCACACGAGTTTGGGGTAACGGCACAGCACGTGCCAGCAGATGTGGGGGGACAGCACCTACAGGAAAGAGCTGCAGCCTCCAGGGAAGGAGTGGGGGATAGTGAGGCAAGGGCCAGAGGAGCACAGGCTCCTCACCCCTGGACAGGCTGGCCTCACGCTCCCCTCCTGCTCTGCCTGTGCCAGCGGCTCTTTACCACAGGCCCCGGCTCAACAAAGGCCTGGTCCCCGAGTCCACAGGTCCCTGCTAGTCTCACTTGGCCACAGCTCAGCGCTGCCCACAAGCCCCTCCTCTCCAGGACCAATCGCCCAGCGCTGCCAATCAGCTCTCGGCTTTGAGTCCCTCACCACCCTGCTCACCGCTGGGCATGGGGCTTGGGTGCCGCGTGTGGAGAGGGCGGCCACAAGCAGAACACGGCCCATTCCCATACCAGAGCCAGGCCCCGTCCACAGGGCCACAGAACCTGCCTGCTTCAGAGACGTCCCCCTCACCCTGACCTCCAGCCTGTGCTCAGCTGGGGCTGCAGAATCTCAGGCCTAAAAAAAGCAAGTGCTCCAGACAAGGAGTGGCACCACTGTCCCCATGAGCAATGCCCTCCAACCAGGAAGGGCCAGGCCTTACCTAGTGGTGGGCTCAGGCCATCTCAGCCACTCACCTGGGAGCCGGTGAGGGGCTGGGCCCCCCCGGGCTGGAGGAGAGAGGGGGGAGCACGCTGCCTTCTGTGGGCAGGAACCACGCCAGGTACCTGTCCACCAGGATGAAGTAGGCGCAGTCTGAAGTGCGGATGTGGAGGGCCCCGGGGGGCGGCTGGAAAGCAAAGCTCCTGTGAGCGCATGGCTGTGGGCACCGCCCCAGGCTGCTGACCCAGCAATCACAGGGCGGTGCCAGGAGAAAAGCCCCCACCACAAAGGGCCTGACTAGACCCCTCAGTCCTGACCAGCCCACACACATCCCCATCCCCCCACCCTGCCCACACCAGTAGCCACCTCCTACAGGAAGCCTCCCTGACCACCACTCAGGGCACCAGCCCACCCCACATGGCCCATCAAGCCTGCCCCCAGCCTGTCATCCTCACTAAGTGAGGGTGGCCTGAGGGGCAAAGGCTGAAGAGAGGGGGACCCGGGGAAAGGAGGTAGGAAAGGGAGGAGAAATGGAGAAAGGCAGGCCGATGGCTGGCCCAGCCCTTCTTTGTGTGGACACAAGCCCTGGGCCTCAGCCCCTCCCTGCACCGGGGCTTCAGTAAAGCAAACCCAGCTCAGAGGCACCCCTTCTGTACCTTTTGAGTGATGAGGCTCAAGGCAAAGAAGAACATGTAATACTCGAATGGATCTGAGGGCCATGTCAGGGGGCAAATGACAGGGCTGTCGGGGCCCCCCACCCAGCTCTGTGTTGGCCGCCCGGCCTCCCCCACTGCGGGGCCGACAAAGGATACTGAGGGCCAGGTGCAGGCCAAGGCCCCCGGCTGCGGGGAGCTGGACCTTGTTGTGGTACAGAGGGCTGTCGGGGAGCACGCGCTCCTGGATGGACGCCTTCACAGGGTCCTGTGGACAGACAGAGGTGGCTCTTGGGAAGGCTGCAGAGGAGCCCAACACACAGAGCCCCCTGGGGAACAGTGCTGTCCTCTGCGCGGTGCTTGTGCAAAAAAGCTTCACGCAGACTCTGTCCCTTCGTCCTCACACAGACCCACCACAGCGGGGCTGCAGCTGTGTGCATCTCTGACCCAGCCAGGCGCTCGATGGATCCTGTCTGCTTTGTTTCTCATACCCATGAGTGTGCCACCCCTTAATTCGCCCCCACAGGACTGGAAACTCAGAAAGACAAAGCTACCAGTCACGTGGCCCTGCCACTCAGCCAGGAGCCAACCAGGCCCTCCCACTGGCAGAGTTCAGATGACCTTTGAAAAAAAAAAAAACCATTGAAGTTCCAATCTGTGATGGCTCCTGGGCCCTGAACAGATACCATGACGTTCTGGCCACTGTCACAGCCCTGCAGGCCCCTGCCCACCCACCAGCACTGCAGCCACTGCGTGGGGCACCTGGCCCCAAGCCTGGCTCTCACCACCATAGCTTACTTACAGGCAGGTAAGAGACAGGAAAGTCAAATTTATAGTCTTCAGCTTGAAGTTTATAAACCAACTTCATCATTGGGCCCCTGAATATGAACAACAAAAACAGGGCAAATGAACCGTGAACCATCTTGCTTTGACTGTTCCTTAACAGTGACTGCAAACAAGATCACTGTGAGAGAAAGTCCAGTCCCTCTGGGGTAACAGACCAACCTACCCGGGGTCTAGGAATTCCATGGCGATACTGTACTCCACAGGGCTCACGCGGCCCTGCAAGCAGCGGAGGTTCCACCCAGCCAGGACGCCGTCCAAGCTGCCAAAAATGCTCTCGACCAGCCACGGGAAGATGGCGTGCAGCTCCTGCAACAGCACAGGGAGATTTTGGGCAAGCTCCTGGGGACCACTGCCTGCCTCCCTTGCTGGCCCTGGGCCAAGGACGTCACTCCCTGGCCCGGAGACCAGCAGGACCAGTGGCGCCCACAGGAGCAGCTGTGGATCCTTTTGTTGTGCTTGCGTGGCTGCTTCATGTCTGACCCCGTTACATAAGCCAGCGTATGATTAAAAGGTTTATTTAAAAATTCTGGGGGTGGGGGGGGCAGTTCAAATTTCCAGATCCACTAGGTTCAAAATGCTCTGGGTGATTCTTGCCACTTGCCTCCAGGCCTCCACCCGCCCTCACCCCCCACTACCGCAGGGAGCAAGCAGAAGGGTCGGGCAGGGAAAGAGGAGGATAAGACCCCACAGTGGGGATGTCCCTGGTGGCGCAGTGGTTAAGAATCCGCCTGCCAATGCAGGGGACACAGGTTCGAGCCCTGGTCCGAGAAGATCCCACATGCCGCGGAGCAACTAAGCCCATGCGCCACAACTACTGAGCCTGCACTCTAGAGTCTGCGAGCCACAACTAGTGAAGCCCGCACGCCTAGAGCCTGTGCTCCACAACAAGAGAAGCTACCGCAATGAGAAGCCTGCGCACCAAAAGAAAGAGTAGCCCCCGCTCACCGCAACCAGAGAAAGCCCAGGCGCAAAATGAAAACCCAACGCAGCCAATAAATCAATCAATATATTAAATAAATAAAAATAAAAATGCCAGAAACTTCTGACCCGAAGAGAGCTTTACTAAAAAGGGTGGAACCATCCGTTCTTCCTCAGGGCAAGCCCTTCCTGTCATCTGGTGGCAACTCCTGGTCCAGGCGGGCCTCCTGAACTGACCCGCACTTACTCTGCCAATTCAGGGCGTGGTGTAAACACATACTTTCAGTACTTACAGCAGGGCTCAACCTTGGCACTGCTGACATTTGGGGGTGGACGCGTCTTTGTCCTGGAGGCTGTGCTGTGCCCTGGGGGACGGATGCCAGCACGCCTGGCCTCCACTCACTCGGGGCCGGCAGCACCACCCCATGTGGCAACTAAAAATGCCTCCAGACACTGCTAAGTGTCCCATGTGGGACAGAAGGCCCACGGCTGAGAAAGTCTGGTCTACGTGGTCGTGGTCACATGTTTACATGTGTCACAAACGTGAGAGTCACAATACAGGGTCAGGCCTCCGCAGAGCAGCGCTCAGAGGTGGGAGGCAGGGGCTGCGAGAATGCTTTTCCAGGAGTGTGTGAGACACGCCCCCAAGAGACGCTGCAGAACTGTACCTTTGCTGGAAAGTCCTCGATGACTTTAACCAAGTCTTGGCACCGCTGTGCAAAGGGTTTACTTATAGAGTCGGCTTTCAGGCTAGCCTAGGAGACACAAAAAACCAAAATAAAGCGAGCACATTTGCTTTGCAGCTTTTGCTGATATTCTGGTGCGAGTCAAAACAGAAATCCAGGGACTTCCCTGGTGGTCCAGTGGTAAAGAATCTGCCGTACAATGCAGGGGACGCGGGTTCAATCCCTAGTCAGGGAATTAAGATCCCACATGCTGTGGGGCAACTAAGCCGGCGCTCCACAACTACTGAGCTTGTGCGCCTCAACTAGAGAGACCACGCGCCCTGGAGCCTGTGCGCCACAACTAAAGAGAAAACCTGCAAGCCACAATTAGAGAGAAGCCCGCACACTGCAACAAAAGATCCCGCATGCCTCAACGAAGATCCTGCACGCTGCAACTAAGACCTGACACAGCCAAAAATAAATTAAATAAATAAATGATAAATAAATCTTTAAAAACAAATAAACAAACAGTAATCCAAGTGATGGGCAGGAATGAGACACAGCACTGGCCTGACTGCCCAGCACCTCACACATCAGGTCGTGCGTGTGTCCAGGGCCTACAGGACACCCCTAGGCGAGGCCAGGTCCCGTGCTCTCTAGGCCAGGACTTTCCAGGCTGGCTCCCAGCTCCCTCTGTCAGGCACCCCAGCTACCTCAGAGAGCTGCACATCATGAGAACAAAATCCACCCGGATCCAATCCACAAGCAGGGGGTTGGCTCCTGGGTCAGCCCGCAGCCAGGGGGGGACCCCACACAGATCAGAGCACTCACCGAGTGTGTGCACGTGAATGGGAAGTTTCCCCGGGGGCTAACCACCCACCATTTATAGCCCTGTGATTGTGAGCTACCATTTGTTGTCACTGGCCCTCTGACCCAAGACGTCCTTTATCTGTTACCTTCAGAGACGCAGCAGGCCAAAAACCACAGACAGCTTCAGCCAAATGCCAACACTCTGGCGACGGAGAAGCCAGAAAACATTCAGGACAAGAAGGAAATGTACCCCAGATCAGGGGTGAAGGAAAGCTCTCGTCTTTTCTGACCACAAAGGGAAGAAGGCCCTGTGCACATGGATGAACATCAGGAGGAAAGGCCAGGTTTCTAACCACAAAGGCTTTGCCCAGGGTATCCAAGGCCCTGGCCACCTCCACACGAGGATGGAGTCCACAGGGTCTCGGTCAGAGGCAGACACCCGGCTGTGCAGGCCTGGGTCGGATCTGCTGGCTCTAGAGGGGCACTGAAGAAGAACATCCTTCCAAATACAGGTTTATAAAAAGTGCAGGCCTAGTGCCCCAGCACAGCAGCCTCCTTCCGTTTTTCACCAATGACAGTTACGGTCATTAAAACACCTCGCTTTCGTGTAAGGATTTACAAGACGTGAAAATGTGGGTGTACATCCTTCTCCCTTGCTCCTCCCCACACCCCAGGAGACTGAGGAAACGGCATTTCAATCAACTCCTCTTGTAAATGAGAAAACCAGGGCTCAGCAGCTGCATAAACCCAAGGTCCTGTACCAACAGAGGGCAGAGTCGAGCCTGAGGGTTCTCACCCGAGTCCAGTGTTATTTCCAGCACATCCCCCCAAAACATCACCACTGGACAGTTCTTCAAGTCAGTGGCAAAACCCTCAAGTCCCTCCGCTGCAGAGCGACCATCACCCTGGCACGCGGGCGGGCAGCTGACACTTACCAGTAGGAAGCTGGGCTGCTGCAGGTGGGGGAATGCCATGGCAGCCTCCTGGGCAGGGTCCAGACGGGCCGTCTTAGAGGACCACTGCAGAGAGACAAAGACAAAACCTCAACCTCTGCCACACAAGACACACAAGGCCAGGAGAATATCTGCACAGCTCAGCACCACTGCACTGCCAAGGCCCACGCTTTACAGAAATGCTGCTTACGTGCCTGCCGTCCACAGTGTCCAGCCCCGGAGCCAGGTCTGTGGCAGGGAGCCCTTGGGAACACTTGGTTAAGCTTGTGTGGCACTTGCCACATGCCAGGCCTGGTTCTGAGGGTTCTCCATACATTTCTCATTTAATCCTCGGTGGCAGGCAGGCAGGATTCTAAAGACAGCCATCCAAGATTCCTGTCTCTGGTCATTCAAACACTCTTCTAGGTGCTGCTGTGAAGGGGTTTTGCAGATACAATTAAAGTCTCAAGTGTGAGAACCGTAAGATACAGGGCAGTCCTGACTCATAGCCAGCAACGAAATGGGGACCTTGGTTCTACCACTGCAAAGAGCTGGATCCTGCCAGCAACCTGAATAAGCTTGAAAGCAGATTCTTCCCAAGAGCCTCCAGATAAGAGCAAAGCTGGCCAACAGGTCGATCTCAGCTTTGAGAGACCCTGAGCAGAGAACCCAGCTGAGTCTGCATTTCTGACACATAACCATGAGACAACCAACAGATGAAGCTTTAAGCTGCAAAGTTTGTTAAGCAAGAGTAGAAAATACATCCTCATAACAACCCTACGAGGTCAGTACAGATAAGGAAATGGAGGCAGAGAGAAAAATCACTTGCCCTCCGCCAGCTGGGGAATGGCAGAGCCAAGACTCAAACCCACAGACCTCCTCACTACTCTCCCATAGAGACAGGTGGACACATCTCCTCTGTCTTACTTGTGCTCTCTGAGAAGGAAGGGAGGGGACGAGCCAGCTTTGCCAATGGAGGCTTTGAACAGCCACCAGAAAATCAGGGGTAGCTCTCCAGAATCCTACCTCTCTGTGCCCCCAATCAGAAACTGAAAATATCCAGACTCGGACTGAGCAGAGAGGGAGTATGCAAGTCCCACTGATGAGCTGCTGATGGCTTTCCTGGCACAGCTCTGCCCATGGCCTGAGGAACGGTGCTGATGCGGCAACTGGCAGTGTATGTGGATGGAGATGCTGGGTGGGCAGCTGAGGTATTCTGAACACCTTCCCATGAAACCGAGCAGAAACCTGCACACTCCCCACCCCTGTACAAAGGCCCCTCCATGTCCCCTGCCTCTTGTTTGTAGAAAAGCTGAAGTTTCCCAGGTCTCCCTGAGTCACAAAAGAGCAGGCTCAAGCAGCTAACGATTAGGACAAGAGAGTCACAGAATCTTTCAGTGTCTGATGTACACTCCTGAGTTGTTTTACAGATACTATAACTGCCACCAGAGAGAAAAAGCCAAATGCATGATGACCAGACAGTAGCCATGACATAAGCTGCTCCATCTGTGGCTAGCACGATTCCAAAAACTGGCCTCAAGACAATGAGATTAACGTTATTGCTCATAATAATCTATATCTTTGTGGGCATCAAAATAATTGTAGCTTGCTCTGCCCAATTTTTAGTAAGCAGGCAACTAAAATTGTCAGCAAAGAGATGCCACAGACTCACGTTGACATCTTCCACTCTAAGAATACTGCGCGCTATGTCAGCATGAAGAAGTTACAGAAGATGAGCCTTTGCCCCTAATCCCACAGAAATGGAATGATGTCAGACAGTGGGGATCTGTAAGCAGCTCCTTTGCCCCGTTCCTGTTTGCCCATTTCTGTTCGCCTCAAACCTTATAGAAATGAGGTCACCAGGCAACACTTAACCTAACTCCTGACATATGCTCTACTGAATGCACACAATACCTTGCTTAACCTATTGATTCCTTCCCTAGATTAAAAGAAGTAGGAATGAAAAATTAAGTACTTAAAGAATGACTAGCTCTCTACCCCCAGCTTCTCCCTGTGCAATCCGGCAGGAGATCACGCAGGCAAGATAACATCTGAAGAAAGCTCATGAGGAGTCAGCCAGTCCACACCCAATGGAAAATGACGCAGAGCTTGACCTTCTGCCTCGATCCTGAGATTCTTTCCCCTTCTTCCCTTTAAAAACTGTCACGGCTGAGCAGAATCTTTGGAGTGCGTTCTGGGACACCAGTCCACCTTCTACCCGGTTGCTGGCCTTCTGAGTAAAGCAACCTTTCCTTTGTACCAACACTTGTCTCTGGAGTATTGGCTTTTGAGCTGGGAGGAGCCGAGTCTGAGTTCAGTAACACTGAGACTGTTCAACTCCTAATTAAACTAGCTATGGGTTTCAGTTTTAAGGATGACTTAAATAAAACGTTTCAGTCCTTAACCAAGTGGTCCAGGGAACACTGCACTACTCCAAAACGATCAAAGCGACATAAAACCCTGAACTGTTTGCTAAGGGCAAAGCTTTAGAGATGATGAATTAAATGCTGCTCCTTGCTTAGAGCAAGTTTGCAGAGGTAGCGGCTGAAGGAATGAGCCCGAGGCGCCCAAGCGCCTCTCCTTGGGGAGAGGGCAGCGTCTCCCCGCCACGCCGCCTGCGCTGTGTGCCCAGCCTCCGCTTCATCCCGCCACCTCCACACCCGCTGCCTTCAGGAACGGCTTCCGATCCGCTTTCGGGGTCCCTCCCGTGAGCTGCAGCCCCGTCAACGCCAATCTCGCCAGGGCCTCCCTCTGGCCGCGCTGCGAACGGGGCGTGCTTCCGCCTGCCGCTCACTACTGCCCCGTGAAGGGAGCACCGGGGCCCCCGTGTCACAGACGCGGAAACTGAGGCTCCGCAAAGACGGCCCACACCGGGGGAGGCGAGGAAGGATCGGGTCGGGCCGGGGCCGAGACCCACCCCGCTCCCTCCACACCGCTCGCTGAGTCCCAGACTCTCCCTCCTCCACCGCGCGCAGCGAACGTTAACCGCGGGGCCACCGAGGTGGGGCGTGCGAGGTGCGCGGGAAGGCGACGGGAGGTCGCAGTCCGGCCCTCGGCGCCCTGCCGGCCCGGCCCGAGGCCCGGGGCTCGCGTGGGAACAGAGCTGGTTTCGGCGGAAGTTCGAGGTGGCCGCCGGGACGCGAGGCCGGGACGCGAGGCCGGACCACGCGCGATTCCCACCATTCACCTGAAGGAACCACAGCGCCTCCGGCTTTAAGGACCGAGGCCGCCATTCAGCGACCCGGCGCCGAAATGTCGTCATCAAGCTGCGCGTGGCGTCACGTTCCCCCGGCCTAGCAGGAAATGTGCCGCCACCTCCTCTGGCTGACACAGTAAAAGGCGCGTGCGCAAAGCGAAGGCCCGCCTCGGAACGCGCGTGCGCAGCGGGGAAATCCGCCGTAAGGAGCGCGCGTGCGCGAAGACGTGTCGGTGCGTTAGGGCTTCGAGGTGCGCTCCCTACCGGGGAGTCGGCGCGGAACAGTTACGCTCTGGCCCCGATGGGCATTTATTGAGCGCCCACAGAATGCCCGCGCTGTACTGGGTGCCGCCACCTCGGCTAGCGCGCGGGGAAGCTCCGTCTCCAAGGGCCCGGTCTTACGCACGCCTGCAGCCGCCCGGGCCCGGGTCTGAGCGCCGGATGGCGTGGGCGCTGCGGGGAGAGGGGCGCGCGGCGGGCCGGTAGGGGGCGCGGCGGGCCGGACCGGGCGGGGCCGGGCGGAGCGGGAACCGGACCCAGCGGCGCACACCCTCTGCGGTCCGCAGATGGCGGCGCCGGGCGCGGGGCCCGGGCCGGGGCCGCCACCGGGGCTGGAGGCGGCCCTGCAGAAGCTGGCGCTGCGGCGGAAGAAGGTGCTGAGCGCCGAGGAGATGGAGCTGTTCGAGCTGGCGCAGGCGGCGGGCGGCGCCATGGACCCCGACGTGTTCAAGTGAGCGCCCGGCGGAGGCGGGGTCCCGGGGGAGTCGGGGTCCCCGGGGACGGCCGGACCGGGCGAGTAGGGCTCACTGCCGCAGCGTGTGTTCTCGCCAGGATCCTGGTGGACTTGCTGAAGCTAAACGTGGCGCCCCTCGCAGTCTTCCAGATGCTCAAGTCCATGTGCGCCGGGCAGAGGCTGGCGAGCGAGCCCCAGGACCCCGCGGCGGCGCCCCTGCCCACGCCCAGCGTGCCTGAGACCCGAGGTCAGAGCCGGGCCTGGGCGGCGGGGAGGGGGACGGGGGCGGAAGGGGAGCAGCGCCTGGCACCGCGCGGGCTTGGCCGTGAGTGCAGGCCTTTCTGTTCCTCTTGTCCCAGGACAGGCTGGGCCCATCCAAGGTCTGGCCCCTTGGGCTCCCGTCCCTAGCTTCGACTTTGCTGCCACTTTTGAGGGTGCACTTCCAGATCGGGAGGACACAGGGTGGGAGACCCAGGCAGGCTAGACCTCGTCTGGGACTTTTGCGACCCCAGTTCCTCCCCATCTCTACTCTGAACGTTTTTATCCCGCAAACATGGGAACAAGGCAGCTTTGGTTCCTGTCCTCATGACCTGTATAGCCTCTGCGGAAGTCCTCAGGGAGCAGGGCGGGCAGAGGCTTTCCTGCGTGCCCTTGTTGGCACCCCACCCGGCCCAGGTCCTACCCAGGAATCTGGACAGCGAAGCTTCCATCCTTGGGCTGTGAGTGGGCGCAGCCTGGAAGCCATGGCTGGCAGGGTACAGAGGCCCGAGGGGCCTCCTCAGTTTGGAGGGTCATGGCTGGGGGATGAGCAGGTGCTGGTGACCAGGGTGTCATGATGGAGCTCTAATCCGCTTCGGGTGTTACTTTGCTCCCCATCCCAGAAACCCTCTGAAATGCAGCAGAACCTCCAGGCTGGCTCCTTAGCCAGAAACATCCTGAGAAGGGGCTGACGTTGGGGCGGAGGGCAGCTGGGCCCTGTGGGTGGGTATGCCTGGGCCCTGGGCGCCCGTGACCCCGTCCTGAGAGGCCCTGGGCACTGGAGTGCAGGCCTCCTCACTGATGCACGCTGTCTGCTCTCTTTGTGTCTCTCTCTGACCTCCAGCAGCCTCCTTTCTCTCTGCCGAGAACTGTACCCCCCCCGCAAGGCCCTCCTTTTCCTCGGCCCTGCAGCCTGCGGCCTCTCCAGTTCTGCTCCACGGCCCAGCTGCCTCGCACTCGCCTCTTTCTCCGGGGCCCCCCGGTTCCCTCCGGTTCTCTTGCTGCCTGTTCTCTCCTTTTGCAGGTTGCGTTTATTGGTTTATCTCTGGGGGTTGGTACTCTCTCCTGTTTCCGTGGAAACTGCTGTGGCCCCCAGAAAGCCAGAGCAGCTTTGAGCTGCAAGGGCAGGACCCAGTGAGCCATCCCTGCCCCGCAGCTTAGGGACTGAGGGCGTGATTTCACAGCTCCGCTCACTAGAGACAAGTGCAGCGCTCACAGGACAGGCCCACACCCCGTCCCCAAAGGCTAACTCTGCTGGTGAGACTTGCGCTCTGTAGAGCTGCCCCCAGCCCAGAGGAGGACACCCAAGGGGCGGGGAAGGGACAGCGTGGTATGCTGTGGAGAGCAAAGCCTGAGGTGTGACAGGCACCTGGGCCTCTTAGATGCCATCACCCACCTGGACTGGTTGCCTGGAGGATCAGACCATGGGTCCCCTCAACTGCCTGGTTTCTGAGCTGGGGGTGCCTTCCAGGCACTGCCAGGCACGATGAGGCTGGTGTGTTAGAGTGTGAAATGCCATGGGAGCTCTAGCTGCACCCTCCCACGTGCCCCTCCCTGCATCACCCACCTTGCTGTTCCAGGAGTGCCTGGAGCTTGGACAGGGGGCCTGAGGAGCGTGGGGACTAAAGGAGAGAGATCCCCTCACTGGGGGGTTTTGCCACTCCCTCCCTTGCTCAGTGCCAGGCCTGCTCTCAGTGCTGAGGGCACAGTGGGGCTGCAGGGTGGACACGCTGTCTGTCCAGTGGCTAGACATACCGACAGTGACGGGCGTCCAGTCTCGAAGGACAGCACCAGCCTTGCTGGAGTAGCAGGAGTTAAACAAGCTGGGGGCAGGGCCCTCGCACCAGCTGCAGAGTCCTGTGCGCTGCTGCATCCCCTGGGAGGGGGCTGAGCTAGGGTGTGGGGGGAGGGAGGGAGAGGGTGCAGTCAAGGGTGTGTTGGGGTGCGGGGCTGGGAGCACTGCATAGAGGGATGGGAGGTGGGGAGGAAGCCCCGGGCCAGGGACTGGAGAGGCATGGGGCACTGGGCCCCACAGGGTCGTTTCCCCTTGAGTGCTCAGGCCATAGGTCCTGCTGGGCTGGGCGGCCACCAGCCAGGGTACAAGGGCACTGAGGCCCTGGGGAGATGCCCAGTGGAGGTAGAGGGCAGATAAGGGGCCGTGCCAGGAGTACACTGAGGCCAAGAGGCAGAGGCCACCAATGAGACAGATCTCTGAGGCTGCATGTCAAAGCATCTCTCCACGCAGATCTCTGGTCACCTGGTTAATGGCAGGATCTGGGTAGAGAAAATAAGGAGCATTGTCACAGAGTAAGCAATGGGGGACCTTGGTGGTCTAGGCTGGTGGTGGGGGTTTGGGAACGTTGGAGCCAGCTGGCCTTAGGTTTCCCTCAGAATCGGAGTGAGATTGACCCAGACCAAGGGCTGGAGCCCCACTCAAGGGCTTCGCTCTCTGGGTTCCTGGCCATCCAGGTGCCCTGTGGGGCCTGTCAGGCTCACCATTTCTGTCCTGAGAGCTCAGGGGGGTTAGGCTTGTCTTCGTAAGGACGTGGAGTTAGGTTCAGTTGTGTGCTGTTGAAGTTTAGGGAAACCACACATTCTATAAAAAGATGTCCCACCCAGAAAGCATAAGGTGGAGTCTGGTGTGTGGAGCCATGAGGACAGGTACCCGAGCGTTGGCACCAGAAAGGAATGGACACCTCACGGATAACTTTTATACTGATTACCCGCTAAAATGACATACTGGATGTTTGGGTTAATTGAAACATTTAAGTCAATTTCCTGTTTCTTTTACTTTTTAACATGGCTCTTAAAAAAGCTAAAGACCACGCAGGTGGCTCGCAGCCCATCTCTGGGGGCAGCACAGCTGCAGAGCACTCACGCCGAGCTTCTCCCCAACACGGCATCGGGCCGTGTGCCTGGAGGAGTCACAGGCATGTCCATGTAGGGATCACCTCCCCAGAAGTGTGGGCTGAGTTAAGGGTTAAAGCGCACACGTGCAGTCCGTGTTGTGCATTGTTCTGTCTGTATCTGTTCTGGAAGCACCGATCAAGCCCCTGCTGTGTGCTCTGCACACCCCTGGCCGCCCGCTCATCCTGGCCACCAGACCCCCCCAGCTGGCCTTGCAGATAGCAGGGCTGTGGTGTATTCTTTACCTCTCATTTCTAACCCACCCGTCCCCCCACCCCTCCGCACACAACATGCCTTCAGTGTTGGCTCACAGCCGGTCACTGACATTTGGCCTCAGCAGCCATCTGGTCTGTGACTCCATAAGGGGGTGCGCCCACCACCCAGGAGAAAGCGCTCTGGGGCTTTCTATAATTCTCGTTCCTGCCCAGCTCTGCGGCAGAGCTCTAAGAGTGGGTGATCAGGGATCCCAGGGGCCACTCCAAAGGTCAATGGCAGAGTGGGTCCTACCGGGTCTGGGTGGTTCTCCAACTTCAGGGCCCCCCCCCTGAGTCAAGGGTAGCAATGGGCTGGTGAATTTGGGGCATTTGCTTCATTAGGGAGCATCCAACACTGAGTGGCCACAGCTGGTTTCAGGGGTAGGAGGGTAAACCGGACTGTTTTTAACAGACACCCTTATCTGTCTTTGACCCTTAAGAGGGCCCCACAGGAACCAGGCCTGGGAGCATGTCCCCACCACCCCCACCGCAGCTTGTGGTCACCCTTGGCTCAGCCCCAGTCCTCACTGCATTCCATCGGACCCTAATAACCCTGTCAGGAGGGAGCTGGAGCAGGCCTGACGAGCTCCCAGATGCCCCTTGCTGGGTCCACTGGGCTCTGCAAACCTTCTTGACCTCCACAGCCGCGTGTAAAATGAGGCCTGAGTGGGTCTCCCCACGAATGCCCAAAGCATGTGATTCCTTTAGGGTTCTAAGAATCACACTGAGCTGGATAAATGGGCTATTTTCATCCTTAAAATAGTTTTCTTTGACACCTTCTATGACTCAAAGTTACATTGGTTTCTTACTTCCAGGGTTTATCGGCCTCGTCAGATTTAAAGATGAACATTACTTGCTCTTTTCTAGTTTCCTCTCATCCTTGAGTGTCCAGAGGGGCCCTGGTCATTACACTGAGGGGGAGAGGAAACTCACACATGTGCAAGCAAAAGCAAAGCTGGCTTCAAAGTGAGGCCTGCAGCTGGGACCCGCCCTGCTGCTTGCGGTGGAGCTGCGCCTGAGCTGTGCTTTGGGAGCACCCGGCACCGGGGGCTAAGCCACGGGCTCCACGGACCTGATTTGGCCTGGCTCAGCCTTGGTGGGGAGGGGGAAGCATGGCCTGAGCAGGGCACTGGCACATTGGGAAACCCTGCAGAGTGGTGGGGCCCATGTACTCACAGGGTCAGTCAGTGGGGACCAGAAGATTAGCATTTGTACCAGAGATGAGGGGTGATGTTTTTGCTTCTGTCTCCGGGAGTCACTGGGACAGAGTTGGCCCAGCTTCACCCTACCACATGTTCCTGTCTACTCCATCCGGCACTGGGGAACCCGTTACTACTACACTTCTGTCAAATCGAGTACACATGGGCTCTCGGGGAGAAGCAACGCCAGGAAAACCCAAGCTTTCAGGGTTCCAAGCTGATGCCACTGCAACCCACCCCCCGTGCCAGGCAGCACAGACCTCCTGCTCTCTGAGGAAGAACTTTCCCAGGAAGTGTCTTGAGAAGGGCCATCCTATCCCTGCAGGAGTCCTGGGGAGAAGCTAGGTGTGAGGATTAGAGCACGGACTTGAGTCTCAAATGCAGGTCCCTCTCCTTGCCCAAGTGACAGCCGGTGAGCAGAAACAACTTAAGCCCCTAGGAAACTGTCATGTCTTCTGTCCAAGAGCCCCCGGTTCCCCACTGCAGGCTGTTGGACTAAACTGGGATGGAGGCTGGGGGTCAGAGCTGCGGGCCGAAGGAGAGCCCAGGTTGAGGCAGGCCCAGCGGGGAGGGACTGTGACCCAGGCACGCTTGTCCCCCGGGGTCCTCTCTGTTGCTGATGCCACAGGCACTGGCCCAGGCATGACTGCAGACTTTCCTGGCTGTGGGCAGAAAACAGGCTAAATCTGGCAGGTTACCAGTGGGGGAGCGGCCAGAGCTGTGCTCTGCACCTGAGCGTGACCGCCCCATGGACAGGGCGCGTCCTCAGCAGGAGCCCAGTCATAGGACCCAGTGAACCTGAATATTTGTAGAACACTGAGGGGAGAGGGAGGAAAATGTATGAGGAAGAGCTTCCAAGATCCAAATCCAGAAGCCTGACTAACACGCTTTCTGCGTCACCATGTCTGGCGGGGAGGGCAGTTGCTGGGGGTCGACACGCCGAGCTGCCCCTGGCACTGCTCTCGGGACACAGACAATAGGTGTTGCGAGGTGGCTTCTGCCAGGTTGCTAACACCTGTGTTCTGTGTCTGCTCAGGGAGAAACAAAGGCAGCGGTGCCCTTGGCGGAGGCCCGACGCTGCCAGAACGCGGTGTCCGGGAAGGATCCAGCCAGAGGATGCCCCGCCAGCCCAGCGCCACCAGGCTGCCCAAGGTGGGCGGGCCGGGGAAGAGCCCCACGCGGAGCAACACCTGAGCAAGAGGATTTGCACGGGCCCACCGCAGGCCGCCAGCCTCTCAGACAGGCTGCTCCTCCTGTTGGTAATAAACCTCTTTGAAAACCTGAGGGTCTGTTCAAGATGTCTTCTGTTACCTTTTGAATATATTAAGGCACAGAGATTTAGAATTAGTTCTGTGTGCTGGTCCTCGTCATGCTTCAGCTGAACCAACCAAGTGACTTCAACCAGTGACCCCACCTCCCAGACCTCTATTTTGAGCCTGTGAGAAAATGTGCATATTACCAGGTCTTCTGCCTTTTCACTGAGGCCCTCCCAGGGCGCTCAGGTGCAGCAGGGGTTTGAGCACAGAAGGGCTGTGACCTAGAGCTTTTAACCCTCTGTGGGTCATGCATGCCACAGAGAATCCAGTAAAACCCTTTCCCCCAAAATGTCTTGACCTTCCACATTTGCCCCAGTTTTACAGGTTTACATGGACCTCAGGTTTTCAAACTCCAATTCTAAGCTTTTATACCTTAGTCCACTTGTCCCGTCAATAAAGAAGCCTGAAAAATGGCAAATTCAATTGAAAAACCTAACTCAGTTTTCCTAGAACTATTTGTTTTAAAACCTTGGATTGGAAACACTGACTTTTTGCCCTTGGGTCGCGTCACACAAGCAGAGGCTCCTTACAGATGTACGTCCACCCACCCCAGCAGCGCAGCCCAAGCAGCTGGACAGCCGTCCACATGGCCCAGCAGAGGGGTCCTCCCTGCTCCTGTGGACAGATGAGCGTGTTCCAGGTGAGCACAAGAGACAGAGGTTTAATTCAGAAACTGTAGGTAAATATCTGTAACATGACAGTTGGCGGGGTACAGGGGGCCACTAGCCGCTCCCTCCCGTTCAGTACTCTTCCCCTTCCTCGGCCTCCGCTTCCACCGAGTCCACGCCCACCTCTTCGTAATCTTTCTCCAGCGCTGCCAGGTCCTCCCGGGCCTCCGAGAACTCGCCCTCCTCCATGCCCTCCCCCACATACCAGTGCACAAAGGCGCGCTTGGCATACATGAGGTCGAACTTGTGGTCCAGGCGGGCCCAGGCCTCGGCGATGGCCGTGGTGTTGCTCAGCATGCACACAGCCCGCTGCACCTTGGCCAGGTCTCCCCCTGGGACCACCGTGGGGGGCTGGTAATTGATGCCCACCTGCCAAAGAAGGGGAGAAGGCACTGCGTGAAGCTTCCGTCAATCCAGGAATGGTGGCTGCGTTTGTGGAAACAGAAGGCATGGAGGTGCCCACTGGTGACCCGGGGAGGCTGGGGCCACCCTGTACTCTGGGCCCAGCTGTGTGCCAGGCAAGGTGCCAGGAAAGCAGGGTTCTGGTTTCCAGACAAGGAAAGAGGAGCCCCAGAGCCTGCCACCCTGGCTCACACCCAAGCTGCTGGAGGGGCTGTGTCCCAGCAACTGTGACATGTGATAGGTACCCAGGTGATAGGACTATCTTCCCTCTAAGAAGGGACACTGCTTGGGATTCCTCATATGTTATTTTCTCCAGAGGGTTCAACAAGATAGGGATTAATGTCTGTAGCTGAGCCTTTTCCACCCAGGCAGATTCAGAGAACACAACTGTGGCAGAATCACGAGGGCAGGTCACACCCCCTGCTTTCCCAACAAACAGTGTACACATAGCAGAGTGACAAGCACACCGTCAGAGGTCCCTGACGCTGTGTGACCACTGCCATGGACGCGGCCCACATGAACGCTTAGTAAGAGGGAGGGAACGAGATCCCAGCACTGGGACCAAGGGAGAGGCAGTCCAAGCTTCAGACCAGGGATCACATGACCAGAGGTTTTGGCAGGAGATACAGGGTCTGTCAAGGGGGCTACAGCACACGTTCTAGGCTGCTGAGCCACAGGGGCTCTGTCACAGATACTCAACCCTGTCTTTGCAGCACAAGAGCTGCCACAACAATAAGCCAATGAGCGGGGATGGCTGTGCTCACGTGAAACCATTAACAAAACCAGGTGATGGGTCGGCCAGCTGTGCTGAGCCCTGGACCAGAGGAAGAAACCCAGACTCCTAGGTAAGAACCCACTGCAGCAGCGAGGGTCTGAGCCAGCGGAGGCCCTAAGAGCAGGGCTCAGGGAAGTACAGTTCCATTCCCAGAGGGAAGGTTGGGAATAAAGTAAGGAGCAAGGTTTCTGTCCTGTGTCCAGTGGAAGGTCGGAGCAAGATGGGTCTAAGGACAACCCAGGACACACTGTATAGGCTCCCCAATCTCCACTTTTCCACAGAAGGATTCATGACAGTGCTGTAAATCAAACGTTCCATACGACACTTAAATTGGATGTTAATTTTTACATGCCGATGGAATCAAGTGGAATTCAGAGACAACAGTCAGTTTACAGTAGTGCCCCAAGTTCAAATATCCCCATAAATTACCAAAATGCCCAGAAAATTCCTACATTTATATTCTAAGAAAAATTACTATAAGAAAAAACACCTTATTTCTAAATCAATCTATGTTTTCCACCCAAGAACTCCTCCAGATAATTTCTGTAAAAAATACACTCACAGACCTGTATCACGTGATGACTCAGGAAGGAAGTTCTAGAGACACCAGTGAAGGAATGAGAACTGTCCCCCAACTTACTAATCCATGACCCAGCCTGGCTTCCCTGTATCAGGGTACCCTCCACAAAGGGGCAGCACCCCGTCCCAGGATCTGCCGCAGGCGGAAGATAAACACGCGCTACCGCCTAGCCTACCTTGAACCCAGTCGGGCACCAGTCCACAAACTGGATGGTGCGCTTCGTCTTGATGGTGGCGATGGCCGCATTGACGTCTTTGGGGACCACGTCCCCCCTGTACAGCATGCAGCAGGCCATGTACTTGCCGTGGCGAGGGTCACACTTGACCATCTGGTTGGCCGGCTCGAAGCAGGCGTTGGTGATCTCGGCCACGGACAGCTGCTCATGGTAGGCCTTCTCGGCCGAGATGACTGGGGCGTACGTGGCCAGGGGGAAGTGGATGCGGGGGTAGGGCACCAGGTTGGTCTGGAACTCCGTCAGGTCCACGTTGAGGGCGCCGTCAAAGCGCAGGGAGGCCGTGATGGAGGACACGATCTGCCCGATCAGACGGTTAAGGTTGGTGTACGTGGGCCGCTCGATGTCCAGGTTGCGCCGGCAGATGTCATAGATGGCCTCGTTGTCCACCATGAAGGCACAGTCCGAGTGCTCCAGGGTCGTGTGCGTGGTCAGGATGGAGTTGTAGGGCTCCACCACAGCTGTAGACACCTGGGGGGCTGGGTAGATGGCGAACTCCAGCTTGGACTTCTTGCCATAGTCCACCGAGAGCCGCTCCATGAGCAGAGACGCAAAGCCCGAGCCGGTGCCGCCCCCGAAGCTGTGGAAGATGAGGAAGCCCTGCAGGCCCGTGCACAGGTCCGCCTGCGGGAGAGCAGAGGCCGTGAGGCCACGCCCGCATGAGCCGTGCCACCACCCCCACGGGCCCCCACAGGCCCCGGTCACGGCACACTCTTCCTCTGCAGGTTCACTATACGGGTTCAACCCATCCACAGGGAACACGCATCACACTTAGCAGTTACAGACGTGGACGCACTGCGGCCACACCGGAAAGGAAGACCCTGCACTCATGGTTCTGCTGGGTTTTGCCAAAGTGATGTCCCGGGGAGATCCCGGGCCTCCCCTCCTGTCCAGGAGGCCTTCCCAGGGCCCTTCTCACCAGTTTGCGAATCCGGTCCAGGACCAGATCGACGATCTCCTTGCCGATGGTGTAATGGCCTCTGGCGTAGTTATTGGCCGCGTCCTCCTTCCCGGTGATCAGCTGCTCCGGGTGGAAGAGCTGCCTGTAGGTCCCCGTGCGCACTTCATCTGCAGAGAGGACAGCGTGCCCGAGACTCTAAGGACGGTCGCTGACTCACCGGGATGGCCAGGTCTGGGGAAACCTTCAATTGTACAGGCACGTGCTGTGCCTTGCAGGCCAGCAGCGTCAGCGTCTCACAGAAAAGGTCTCCGTGTGATACACATGCCTCATCTGCTGTTTATGGCTCCGGGAAGGTCCAGTCAACCCGAGGAACAAATGCCAGTGTGGCCAGTTCCCAAAGGCGAGGGAATGCTCACACCGCACAGGCGGTTCTGCGCGTGCATGTTTTGTTCACACCCACAGCTACACCCGGGGTGTTGCTGAAATGGCCCTGACATACTAGACATCAGCGTGACTTTTGCCGGGCGCCCTCTGTGGCCTGGGTCTCACGGGCTCCAAGGTGACATTCTGTTCTCTCCTGGGTGGCCGCCACTGAAAGGTGCTCTCTCCTGGCAGCTCCCCTTGGAAACTACCTCGGGCTTCTGATCTGGAGGAACCCAGCAAAGGTTCTGTGCTTCCCCTTCTAAGTCTAAGGGTACCTACCGACCACGGTGGGCTCCAGGTCCACGAACACGGCTCTGGGCACATGCTTGCCAGCCCCAGTCTCACTGAAGAACGTGTTGAACGAGTCATCCCCACCGCCGATGGTTTTGTCGCTTGGCATCTGGCCGTCGGGCTGAATTCCATGTTCAAGGCAGTAGAGCTCCCAGCAGGCATTGCCGATCTGGACCCCCGCCTGCCCCACGTGGATAGAGATGCACTCACGCTGGGAACGAGAATATACACGTGAGGCCCCTCAGCTTCAAGGCAGTTGTCACTATGTGGCACGCAAATGAGACCCAACGTCTTAAATTAATATCTCTAAAATCTTTTGGTTTCTTAACGTCTTATCAGACATTATTGTCCCATGAGCTTCCAATGGTCATTTTATGTCTGAGCATGGATGGAGACACACTTGAACTGTGAAAAGGCATACAGCCATTATAAACATCTTCCCAGCGAGACTTCCCTGGTGGCACAGCAGTTAAGACTCCACACTCCCAATGCAGGGGGCCCGGGTTTGATCCCTGGCCAGAGAACTAGAACCCACATGCATGCCACAACTAAGAGTTCGCATACCACACCTAAGGAGCCCGCCTGCCACAACTAAGGAGCCGGCGAGCCGCCACTAAGGAGCCTGCCTGCCACAACTAAGACCCAGCATAACCAAATAAACAAATAAACAAACAAGTAAATAAAACATCTTCCCAGCAATCAATAAAAAACGTTAAAAATTTTTACAAGGCCTTCCCTGGTGGCGTAGTGGTTAAGAATCCGCCTGCCAATGCAGGGGACACGGGTTCAAGCCCTGGTCTGGGAAGATCCCACATGCCGCGGAGCAACTAAGCCCGTGCGCCACAACTACTGAGCCTGTGCTCTAGAGCCCGTGAGCCACAACTACTGAGCCCGTGTGCCACAACTACTGAAGCCCGTGCACCTAGAGCCCGTGCTCCGCAACAAGAGAGGCCACCGCAATGAGAAGCCCACACACCGCAACGAAGAGCAGCCCCCGCTCGCCACAACTAGAGAAAAGCCTGCATGCAGCAACAAAGACCCAATGCAGCCAAAAATAAAATAAATAAATTAAAAAAAATTTATACAAATAAGCAGTCAAGCCATTTTATTTCCACCTAAGGCTGTATTTACCAACCTGATATTAGCAATGGCTTAGAAAAAAAACATGAAGTAACACTTTTCAGTCATTAGACAATAGGCAGCAGAAGACAGCAAGTGATTCCTTAGAGCACGGAAACAAGGCAAGCCCTACAGATGCCCCAGAAGGCTGCTGGGGACCGTCCAGGCTGCAGCTGAGAGAGGAGAAACCCAGGGATCTCCCTGAGGTGAGCAGAGAGAATCCTGTGTTGAGAGAGGTCAAGGCAGCTAGAAAGCCTGGTGCTGGCTTTCTATCTGGAGGAGAGACAGCTGCATGGAGAGAGCTCAGGGAGATCAGCAGGGGGGTCCCGAGTCCCCACTGTGGGCTGCTCAGCACAGGTGGGGAGGGACCCCTGAGCTCACACCTGCCATGGCAGAAAGACATCCTAACTCACAGAGCACTGGGTGGAGTCCTCAGTAGTGGGGCCAAGTGAGGCCAACCCTAAAGGCTGGTCTGAATCCACTTAAGAAAGCTGAAAAGCAAGCCTCAAAAGGATCAAATTGTTCCCAGGTATACTAATAGCAACCTCCCAAAAGCCTAGAAACAGTTGAAAGAACAGCCAAAAAAATCTAACACCCAATAATGTAAAATTCATGTCTGGTATCCAATCTAAACTTACCATATACACCAGAAAATTAAAAAATAAAACCTAGAAAAGTCGGACAATATTACCATATGAAGAGAAAAAGCAATCAATAAAAACAGACCCAGAAATGACAGATGATAGAATTAGTAAACAAGGACATTAAAATAACTATTATATATCTACATGCTCAGGAAAGTACAGGAAAAAATGAGCATGATAAGGAGAGACATGTTTGATATAAAAAAGACCTAACTCAAATTGCTAATGATAAAAAAAGACAATGTCTGAAATGAAAAACACACTGGATGAGATTAACAACTGATTATAAATAGTTTGTAGTAACTATAAATGAAAAGTGTACTTTAAAAATTGTATAAAAGGGCTTTCCCTGGTGGCACAGTGGTTAAGAATCTGCCTGCCAATGCAGGGGACATGGGTTCAAGCCCTGGTCTGGGAAGATCCCACATGCCGCGGAACAACTCAGCCCAGTGCACTACAACCACTGAGCCTGCGCTCTAGAGCCCGCGAGCCACAACTACTGAGCCCATGTGCCTAGAGCCCGTGCTCCGCAACAAGAGAAGCCATGACAATGAGAAGCCCGCGCACCTCAACGAAGAGTAGCCCCGGCTCACCCCAATGACAGAAAGCCCGTGCACAGCAACGAAGACCCAACACAGCCATAAGTAAATCAATAAATAAATTTATTTTAAAAAATTGTATAAAAACTAAAAAACAAAAACTCCCCAGCAGATTATATACTAAGAACATTTGAGAATGATGAAAAAGTTCTGGAAATAGTGCTGATGGTTATACAGCATGTAAATGTACTTAATGCTACTAATTAAATGGTAACTTTTGTCATGTTAAAATGGTAACTTTTGTCATGTGTAGTTTACCACACACAAAAAAGGAGATACTCAGCAATAAAAATGAACTGTGTTGCAACAACATGGGTGAATCTCAAAATAATTATAGTGAGTGAAAGAATCCAAACAACAACAAATTAACTCAATGATCCCATTCATATAAAATCCTAGAAAATACAGAAATGTGGATTAGTGGGGGAGGGAAAGGGGGTGAGGCAGAAGGGAGGATTTACAAAGGGGTACCAGGTAATTGTGGGGGGTGATGCATATGATCATTATCTTGATTGAGGTGATGATTTCATGGATAATCAAGATGTTAATAAATATTAAACCTTGTCAAATTATACACTTTCAGTGAATACTTTGTCAATTATACCTCAACAGAACTAAAATAAAAGGCAAAATGAAGACGTTTTCAGGCATTCAAAAGCTGAGAGAATTAATCATTAGCTGAGAGTAGTAGTCACCACTACAAAAAAAAAATGGTAAAGGAATTTCTCCAGGAAGAAGGAAAATCATACTAGATGGAAAATTGTAACTGCAAAATTGGACTGAAGAATGGCAAAACTGCTAAATATGTGGGCAAATATAAAAGACTTTATACCATATTTTAAAAATATAATTGAGCCCAGCACTTACTTCTGGATGACCACTTCTGCAAATTGGTGCACACAGACTTTTTACCTGATCTGATGACCAAATAAATGGAAAATGATGCATGATCTAGAGAATGATATAGGGAATTTTTACATTGCAAATAAACAAAGATATTCTTACTGGAAACACGAAAGTCTCATGAGACTCTTGGTGACTAACACTATATTTTATCTGCACACTGAAACAACACACTAATCAAAGAGAAGGAGAAAAATTACTAGAGATTTGATCTCCTTTATAGCTTCTAATAATAAAATACACTGTATGATTAATGAAACTGTCCGTTGTAATGGGAAGAATATGTAGCAAGTAACTGTGTCACTCATTTGTGATTTTTTTTTTTTCTTTTTGTGGTACGTGGGCCTCTTACTGTTGTGGCCTCTCCTGTTGCGGAGCATAGGCTCCGGATGCGCAGGCTCAGCGGCCATGGCTCACGGGGCCCAGACGCTCCGCGGCATGTGGGATCTTCCCGGACTGGGGCACGAACCCGTGTCCCCTGCATCGGCAGGCGGACTCTCAACCACTGCGCCACCAGGGAAGCCCTCATTTGTGATTTTTATCTTTAATAAATTCAGCCATGTGTAGTGTGATAAGATTAACTCTTTACACGTTTAAGGTAATGCTATAAAGTTAAAAACTGAAAAAAAAATAATTGAACAATAAAGCAAAAATAAAGATTTATTATTGTGGGGTTTACAACTCATATAGAAGTAACATACAACAAACAATAGCATAGGACTTCCCTGGTGGCGCAGTGGTTGAGAGTCCGCTAGCCGATGCAGGGGACACAGGTTTGTGCCCCGGTCCAGGAAGATCCCACATGCCGCGGAGCGGCTGGGCCCATGGGCCATGGCCACTGAGCCTGTGCGTCCGGAGCCTGTGCTCCGCAACGGGAGAGGCCACAACAGTGAGAGGCCCGCGTACCGCAAAAAAAAAAAAAAAAAAAAACAAGAATCCGCCTGCCAATGCAGGGGACACGGGTTCAAGCCCTGGTCCAAGAGGATCCCACACGCCACAGAGCAACTAAGCCCGTGCACCACAACTACCGAGCCTGCACTCTAGAGCCCGCAAGCCACAACTACTGAGCCCGCATGCCACAACTACTGAAGCCCACGCCCCTAGAGCCCGAGCCCCGAAACAAGAGAAGCTACCGCAATGAGAAGGCCACGCACCACAACGAAGAGAAGCCCCCACTCGTCACAACTAGAGAAAGCCTGCACGCAGCAACGAAGACCCAACACAGCCAAAAATAAATAAATAAATAAGTATATTTAAAAAAAAACAACTCAATAGCATAAAGGCCAAGAAGGGGGAAATGGAGGTATTGATATATCGTTGTGAAGTGGTGTAGCAGCACTTGAAGGCAGACTGGGATAAACTGAGTGAGCAGGGTGGGCTGGGTAAAAGCCCACTAACCATCTCTACCGACATCTGGTTTAGTCATCCAACAAGAATGAACATGAAATTGCAGCAATAAGAAATGAAACGGGACTTCCCTGGTGGCGCTGTGGTTAAGAATCCGCCTGCCAATGAAGGGGACACGGGTTCGATCCCTGATCCAGGAAGATCCCACATGCTGCGGAGCAACTAAGCTCATGTGCCAAAACTACTAAGCCTGCGCTCTAGAGCCTGCGAGCCACAACTGCTGAAGCCCACATGCCACAACTACTGAAGCTTGCATGCCTAGAGCCTGTGCTCCACAAGAGAAGACACCGCAATGAGAAGCCTGCACACCTCAATGAAGAGCAGCCGCCGCTCGCCACAACTAGAGAAAGTCCACGCGGAGCAACCAAGACCCAACACAGCCATAAATAAATAAATAAAAAGAAATGAACAAAAGATGGAAGCTGAAGACCTTAAGTGCTTGGCCAGATCACTAGCACCATCTGCATTATCTATGCAGCATGGGCTTTTACTTAAAGACATCTCTTTTGGATAATGACAAACCTGGTTTTTCTTAAAGCCTGGCTTTTCTCAATATAT